TGTGTGTGTGTGTGTGTGTGTGTGTGTGTGTGTGTGTGTGTGTGTGTCTGTGTCTGTGTGTCTGTGCCTGAATGATGATGCCTTCACATCCTGCTACACCCTCTCTCACCCTTCTCGTCCCTGCCAGCTTGAGTCTGGTCATAACACACGCGTTGAGCTTTGTCTTTGAGACAAAAACATCTCCTCTCCTCTTTCATCTTTTAAACCAGCGGCAGAGGTGACAGCGCAATAAGATACATGAAAGCACCGCGAACACTAAAAGTTCAACCTCTGTTTGCCTTCCACTCAAACTCCTTAGCTTTTTCCAGCCCTCTTACTTTTTGTAGACTTTTATATTTATATGCAGGTACCCCATTATATCACATTGCACAGTAGCAGGGGAAAAAAAAAAAACTATAGCTAGATTTTAGCCACCGTGGCAACATATTCAACAAAGTCCTACTTCCAATTGGTACATCTATCTAGAAGACTATAGATTTTCAAGCACATTTATTTATTTTTTATTTTTTTTTTTATTTTTTTTTTTGCAATTTTGTGAAGTCTCAACATTTATATTATTATACTACTATCATTTCCCCTTGCAAGAAATCCCTTTATCAAAGCAGATACATGTTGATATCCTGACAGGTCAGATCCTATTCCTATTAAAAACCAAGGCCTGGTAATAGCTGCTGCCTCTCATTCTGTCCTTGGTGCCAGACGCTGTCACTCGACAGGTTAGCAGAGCTGATTACATCATGGCAGAATAACTGTTTTGGTAGCAGCGTTGCGAGCTGACATCATAGCTGGGGCGCATAGCATCATGTGCCTCGTTCACAGAAATAGCACCGCTGTGAGGCCTCGCTGAATTTGGGTGGTTAAAGGAGCCAGAGGAGCTTTTAACACAGTTTACATTTGTTTGTTTGGTGTTGAAAGAATGTGACTGTGACAGATTAGGGTAATTGAAGGTTAGGACAGTTTTTAGCAGTGCTATGATGAAGAACATATTTAGCTAATATTGACAGATATTGATTGATTAAAGAGTAGTTGTAAACACAGCTTCACAGATCATTTCAGTAGAAGAAGGTTTCATTTCAACCTGCATCAAAGTTGAGGTTGTTTTTGAAGTGTGTGTGAGTACTCCAACCCTCAGGTCACAGTCAGCTTGGACCTTACAAATGTACAAAAAGAATATGAAAGTCACAGAATACAAAGCCAGTTTGTGCATTGTCGACAGCATTATATATTTTCTGTTAGTGTGCTCACATTTTGCGGTGCGACATGCACCTACAAACGTTCCCCATTACTTTGGTTTATTGCATCTGTTTCCATAAACGTCCCGGCTTTTGCATCCCCTTAAAGGTCAGTGTTGCTTTAATGTGGCAATTAAATGGGAAGCTGAGATTACGCAGTACTTTATTCAATATATTATAGAATGTCAAAGGTGGCAAGACATATTTGCATTCTGCTCAGTATGATCACGGTGCTATGATTAGGGGAGACAGGCTATTTCCATAAATAGTTTTGAGCACAACAGCAATGGGAAGGAAATTGGGTTTCCTGTGCATAATGCTGAATACTTTTCTGAGTGTCTCTGTCCTTTTGGCTTGTCCGGACTGTTCACGCAAGCCTCTGCCTTCCTTCCCCCTCCACCACTTTGAAGTAGTAGACGTGTTTGCCACAGTTGCCGCCACTACGGCTTATTTCCTGTTGTGCCACTATTTGCCAATGGCTAATGAATTCCCATTCTTCTACTGTCTTAGCCTCGTGCATTGAAGCTTAAAAAAACCCACCTGGAGCCCAAACTGTTGTTGAGATTGCGGTTATTTTTAACCTCTTTATCTTTTTTCTTTATTGCCCCTAATCATAGTCTGCAATCTTCTCCAGAGTTACGAAGGTTGCGTCCCGTGTCCTCCCAACCTCTCGTCTAGACCTACACACTGAGATCCCCCGAAGAGATTTCTGGGAGACAAAATACAACTAATCTCATCTGTGAAAGCCTCTCCTTGTTTCGCAGGCTCCATTACAGACATTCCCACTGCACCAAGGATGTTGGTCACTGTGTTGAGAAACCAAAGAAACAAAGGTTGCCATGTCCACTTCGTAATGGGGATGGTGGTTGGTGAGGGTCTGCTGGGGTTACATTCTGCCCAGTGCTAATTTTGGATGAAAAGCTTGAGAATTCATATCCTCCGAATAGTGTTTTTTTTAAGTCACAGTTAAAAAACAAACAAAAAAAAAAAAAACTAAAATATACAGTTATGCTCTATGTAACAATGAACAATGTGATGCAGTACCCTTGGCAGTCTTCAACTCGTCTCTGTGTGACACTTTTCTGTCTACAGAAATAATTAAACATTGGTCAGAACACGAGTTCAGCTAAATGTTTAAATTCTGATCACATGTATAGTAGAGAAAAGAATATTAACTGTATTTCTTGTAGTGAGATAAAGTACATTTGATTCACGCAGTGCTCTGTGGTTTAGATCAAACGTGTAGCTTGGAGTTTGTCACTTGATTCAAGGGGAGGCTGAGCAGAGAGATTTGTTCTGAGTTTAGTCTGCAGGGACGTTCTGCGTAAACTCTAAGTTCAGGTTAGGCTGTCCCGGTCCATTCACAGACAGGTGTCTGCATTAAGAATCAGAATCAGCTTTATTGGCCAAGGTAAAGAATAGACAGGACTTAATAGTGAAAAAATAGGTGTAAATAATATATAAAGCAATGAAATATGAGATAAAATGTCTTTGTACTATAAGTAAGTTGTAAACAATACAAATAGGGCAAAGAAATGGATACACATAGACTGGGTGATTATGTACAGTATGTCTATATACTGTATATACAGTGAATTTTAGATTTATTTTGAAAATCGACAGATGGTATGTCCATACTAAAAAACATGTTCTTGTGTAGTCTCAGCTGGTTTTACATCAATTGCTAAAGGACGCTTGCTGTAAAAACACAATCCAGTTCCAGTTGCTCTATAACAATATATCATCAAAACAATATAAAAATGTCGATCGTTATATATTTTTTTAGTGTCATTTCTTGCGTTATCCCGATAACACAGATTCAAAATAAATGTATATGAATGTTTGACCCTATAACACTACATCTACATTACAGTGACACCAAATATAAACAAAGGAAGTCTTAAACCAGTTAAAAAAATCTACTCTTTGCAGTTTACCTTGGTTATTATAACCAGTGACATAATAATCAGTGAGCTTATGGACGTTATACACCATTCAGACCAAGATGTATAGATTATTGTGGGTATTAAAGTCTGCCAGCTGTCCTGTACAATGCATTTATCTGCTTCTTTTGATTCATATTACATTTGCTGTCCCCTTTGTTTAGATAGATATAGGTGAGGCCTGCCTGTATTTATGTGTTCATTTTGCACTTGAATTCTTAATCAAATGAGAAAATACTTTCATTTGTCATGTATTTAATTATACAAAATAGGCCTTACCATGTAGTTATTTCATATAAACTATTTATTTATTTAGTTACCAGAAAACGTGCTGTATTGTGATGTATTTGTTATCCAGATAGGAAATGACTTATTTGACCATAACAGCAAGCCGTAGTTCTTATTCTTCCGTCACCTCGAGAGGAGAACAGATGTTGCAGCGTAAGTGGACGATGCATCAGGGTAATGTCGCCTGTCTGTCGCTTTGGCCTAGGCGCTGGACCGGCTGTGGCTGCGGCCACCCAGTCAGTGTTCCTTCACGGGCAGTTTGTGAGATGTGCGTGCCTCAGTGTGGCACTGCCTCCGTGTGTGTTTGTGTGTGTTTGTCACACACTGGGAGGCTCCTGGGCAGTTACACAGGGGGGACGAGTGCTGGCAGCTGCAGCTATTTTGGTGAGGTCTTTGTTGTTGCACTGCTGGGGGGCCCTCAAAGTGGTCACAATCTGACCCAAGAGTGCAGTAGAAACTCGTTTCACATTATAATCAGACAGCTTACTCCCTTTTTTGTGCACACGGCAGACAAAACACGAGGGCCGCGTGGTTGAAAGACGCGTTGGGTTTAACTTTTATCTGAACTTGTCTGCCGCTGATGAAAGCCATTCACAAGCAGTTCACTTTGAGCGCGAGCGTGCGTAATGCACATTATTCGGAGAGACTGCTGCTGATTGGACTTGAGCCTTATTGCTGCACCTTGCCCCGTGATGCTTCGCTCTGTTGTGCCAATAACAAATGTGTTGCCTTGGAGAAACTCGCCCGCGCTGCTCCTCTGTAGGAAAGAGATGTTGAGCGTTACATTGAAAGAGAGCACGTGCAGCTGTTTGAAGGACTTATCTTTCCTCAAGGACAGGCTTGTAGCTGATACAAACGTTTATTTAGTTGCCCTTCCTGATGATCCGTGCTGCAGCAGAAGAGAATACCTTAATGTGGACAAAAGAAAATGTTTTTGTTGTGTCACAAAACAAATGCTGAATTGGAACTTGTGGTTATTGGCAGGGTTTCCAGTTGTCCTGTGGTTTTCCCAGATTTGAGAGTTTATTTGGATAAAGCTCCACAGTTGATCAGCGGCTTCCTGGTTGCTCACTTGAGAATATCCAAACCAAATAACAACCTCTCCTGGGATCTGTAACACAGTGAACTCGTTTTCTTCTGCACGATGAGACATTCGGTGCGTGTGCTCGCTTACCCAAGATATCACTTTTAATTTCTCTCCCGACTGGTAAGAGGGGTATATTTGCACGGTTCCTGTGTGTTCATGCTCTGATACAGCGAAGGCCTTGTTTCAGTCAATGAGGATCATAAAAGAGTGGAGAGTAATAATGGAGCTGTTACCCCCTTCTGTCTGGCTCTCACTCCCATTATGACAAGGATCACAACACATCTGCAGCCTTTGATGCAGCGGATATTTCATTCGATTTGATAGTCTGGCTCTCTATTCTCAGATTGTTTGGGTTGGGCAACTTTTCTGTCAACTGTTTCCTTACTGGACTTTGTGGACTTTAAATTGTTTTGCCGAGCTGGCAGCGTTCATTTGACCAGACTGTAGCAGCAGCAGTGAATCTAAAAGCAAAACTTTACAACAACTTTTTCCTCAATCTCTCCTCTGGAAGACATGCTACAGTAATGATGCATCAGGAGCCATGTGTTGTTGTTTTTTTTGTATCTGAACAGCTGTAAAACAGCTGGATCCAGCACACCCACTTGATTATAAAGGAGCTGTTGTTCACTGCTGTCTGTCGAGGTTTAAGGAGTGGACTCATACACAATCCGGATTGGAGTGTAAATATCTGTCTTGTCAGCACGGTGCTAGCATAAAGGGTAAAAAAAATAAAAATAAGATAACAGAGAGCCCTTTTTTTTTTTATTGAAAGTCAGTGAACAGACACTTGGAAGACTTTGCACAATGCTCCCTCTCTTAAAACCAATCTTTGTGTCAGAGCGACCGAGAGGCCTCCTCAGCTGACATTTCAGAGCGTGTCCCACGGTGTAACTGCATCCAAAGCAGTGGAAGAATGAATGAGTCACCACAAAACAGAACATGGTCATTGTTGCCCTTGCCAGTGCAGAGGGCTTAACTTTTGGTTAAAAAAAACGCTCATAATGGTGCTCAGTTCTTTCCATTTAGGAGGGAAAACAGGAAGCAGCTCCTCCCTGCGTCTCTGCAAAACTCTAGTGTGTGCGTGTGTGTGTGTGTGTGCGTGTGTGTGTGTGTGTGTGTGTGTGTGTGTGAAGCAGACAGCAGATGGGTAAAGATCGGCGCATGGAAGCGTGTGTTTGGTTGGCAGGATATCCTCTTTGTTCCGTTGGACCGAAGAGGAGTCATTTTGAAAGAGATGCCCTCTGATCTCTTCTCCTTGACGCTCTCATGCAAGCAGCCGTGTGTGTTTCCTGACAGACGGCGGTTGAACTCATTAGTCAACAAAAACCACAGGATCCATTGTCCCACCGAGCACCGTGATCCACAACATGTGGATGGTAACCATTAGTGGGACAGTTTACAGGAAGAAATGGATCCTGACATCACTAGCTTCTCATAGAATTGTGATGACAATTTCACTTCCGCTCCTGCTGTTGTCTCGGCTGTTGTATTTCGTGTATTTCTCATAATTTCATGCGATCCGTATCCTCCCTTAGCTGTCTCCTGCCAACTGCTTGTATTTCAACACCCATCATCTCAGTGACTTTTCCTGATTTCACTTTCTGATTGTCACTTTCTATTTTCTCTCCTTGCTTCCAATCATTTTCTTTCTAACTTTCCTGAAACTTTAACCTCTCTGCACCTGCCTGGCTAACTTGATCCTCCTCCCTGGTCTTTGTGTCGCTTTTTCTTGTTTGATGCTTGACCTTTGGCTCTTGGCCCCCTGGCTTTTGCACCTTTCTCCTCGCCGCCTCATTGCCTGCCATAGCACGCAGGTTGAAGTCTTCATATCTGGGGAACTTACAGAGCCCAGTCGAACCAGACTACAGTAAGTCCTCAAGCACTTCCTTCTTTTTTTATGCTTCGGTTCCTCCCCTCTCTTGTCTTTGGAACACTCTCCTGTCACCTGCTCCGCTCAGTTATGCACTCCAAACACACTCTCAGATGACATTCCAAGGAAGACTCGGCTTGGGCATGCAGTGTTTGAGTCCAGCATGTCTGTTTTTGTCCAAGTGTCTTGCAAGGCGTCTCTGATGCCAGTGGAAAATGATGGAGTTGTTCCATCGTGTAATATGCATCACCCTCGAGTGACAACACTTGCGTTTCCAGCCGAGAGCATCTTTGTAAAGATATGTTTGGAATACACAACTGTTCATCTCTGTGAACCCGCCAACACTTGCTAAAATGTGATCCAACAATTTGATTTGAAAAGTCCTTTTTGTAATTTCAACCTGATGCAGATGGCTCGTCCCAATGATGCGAACCAGCTGTCTCTGAGAATCACGACAACATGAGGATGAAAACGTGCTTTGTCGTACACTATGGTGTTTTTTTTTTTTTTATGCTTACATTGCGAGCCGTGGGAGAGCACAACGGGGCGAGCTTACTAGTGATTCCAGAAGTTATTCCCAAGAGCTCCCCAGAGGCCAATGAGTGGAGACTTGGAGACAGAGATGCTTGGCTTGCCACCAGCAAAAGGGTTAAGTAGCAGGAGTTCTTGTTCAGCGTCAAACAGCTGGCATATTAGTGTATTTCACTAGGAGAGAGGGAAATATTTAGAAACAAAAAGCGAAAACCCCATGGAGGTTGATAACATGTATTATCAGAGAGTTTTGATTAGCAAGCCGAGGAGATGTGGTCTAGGCCTTTTTTCTTGTCGATTCTCTCCAAAAGCCTCGGGTGGTGCTGGGCCGATGCCGTGGGGGTTGAAGGTCAAGCCCAAAGCGGCTGAGCTTTTAAAGGACAGGCTGGGCTCCCGGCTCAATCAAGCCTTTGTCTTCTGCAAAGGCCTCTATGTGTTCAGAGGGGCCCATTGCACAAAGCCGCCACAGTTCTACTGAACAGCTTTAAAAGCTAAATAAGTTTGTGAATTAAGAGTATGGAATGCTATTTTTCCACCCATCATGTCTGCACTCCGACAGTTTCATCACTCTTGATGGTGGTGGTGCTTGATGAAAGGACGCACAAGAGAATGGGTCTCAGGGTAAAAGAGCCACTCGTTAGCAGCGGGGCACAGCCCGGCAGTTCTAATCAAAGGATCTCGGGCGGCGGCAGTTCCACACTCGCCAGTCTGCAACGTCAACGCGGCAAGCTCAGAGGCAGTTGGAGCTACGAGCTGCTGTTGACCTCGCGGCGAATACCCACTCAAGGGATTAGATTATATGCGGGTCAAATGAGGCGCTTTGATGACTAACTTTGATGTTGCCTGTCTTCTGGGTCCACATTCAGGCCTAACAATTAATCCTATTAGTCTGACAGTAACAGCCTGCAAAGCAAGCTCTCGGGCACCCTGCCAGGCCGAGCGAAAGGCTGCAGTTCTGTTGTTACATGTTAACCTTACTGTGTGTTTTCATGGGCATTGCATCAGTTTATTTTGTCCATAAATGTCCCAGGAATGGGATGTCTTGTTGTGCCAATGCTGTGTGTAGGGAGAGATAATTTAGCAGCGTTTAGAGAGGGCAGCTGTTTATCAGCCAAAGCTCAGCCAGCGGAGCAAAATGCAGCAGAGTTGTCCACAGGCCTGTAATGCAGATAACGAACAAACTCTGACTTTTAATTAAGTCGCTCTTGGTAAGCATGATAAATATCTGATGTCAAGTGTCCACATGTCAAGTGATTATCCACGGAGAAAGGAAATGCAAGCGATATACACCAATATCATTGGTATTTTCTCTGCATGCTGTATGCGCGTTTGTCCATATTTATTGCTTTGCACCTAGTTGGGCATGTATGTTTGTACTAGAGGCTCAGGAGATGCCTACTTAGAACATGACTCTGTTTTTTGGCATGGCAAGTAGCATCTGACTGCAAGAAACTGCTCAAATATTGACTTCCTCCCTAAAACCCACACTGCCAGTCTGAAATCAGAGGCTGGCTAGGCCGTCCTAACAAAGTGTTGGCAGGCATGTGAGAACAGGGCACCCTGTGGGCCTCGGCTATTTTAACTTTTATTTGTTGATGAGTCACTCATAATATAGCTCAACAAGAAGTTTATTTGAAAGGTTATGTTTGGAATGTGGTAATGTTTCTGTAACTGGAGTGATGATTAGATGAATTAAGTGTTGTTGTACACAACTGGTTGCTTACCAATACATTTTAATACAAATCAGCAAGACTTCACGATACATTGCATAAACACTCTTTTGTCCACATATGTGTAGTTTTCTTTGTGTGGAGGGCCATATGTGTGAAGAGAAGAAGCATTTTACTGTCAAAAAAAAACTGCACATTTTAAAAGAAATGACTTGGTACATATGGAGGGAATGTTGAGGCTCCCTTCAACAATCATTCACAGAGGATTTTCGTCTTCTTCCTCTTCAGCAGCTGCCACAGTAGTGACGCTCAAACTCCCAAATACCTTCCAACTCTGACATCATCTGCGTTCAATCCGGAGATCTGGTGCAAACTCGTGGCCATGCTATTTTGCCGGGTATCCACGTACAGTACTGTGTGTTTGGATGTTTGCATTGATTAGGTTTCAGACAGCATATTTAGTTCTGCCTTCGCAAACAAAGGGCCTTTATCAGCACCTGTGTGCAACTGTTTTTGTGAGTCTGTGCCTCCGTGTCCATGACCCACAGAAAGACACGCACAGAGAAGAAGACATGCCTTGATGCTTCCATTTCATGGTCATGTTAGAGTATTTGGGAGGCTTGTGTCAGCGTGTGCCTCTTATTGCGCCCGATGTGTGATGCAACGCTGCAGTTGTCGGATTTTAGCGCAGACCTGCCTACAACTGAGATATGGAAAAAGATGCCATAATTTGTATGTGGCTCTCATTTAAGTGACAGTCACGCTTTTCAGTTTTGACTTTCTGAAATATTTAACCAAAGCCTTTCCCAAGGAAAATAATTCCCAAACAGTGTCCCATATCACATTGTCTTTGATCAACCTAACCACTAAATCTGGGATCTGGCTTATGATATCCGAACTCTGCAACGGATGGACATTAATTCTGAGCCTGTGGTCGTTTTGTATTTGTTAGCTGACGGATTCTCCTCCCATATCTGTGTTTCTAGTTTATTACAGAGCTCTCGTCAACTTCACGGACTCCCTGGTCTACGGCCCCGAGCTCGAGGACATCTTCTCTTCGGCCTTTAATGAGATCTCTGAAGCAGTGGTGGACACGGTACGTCCTATTCTAACAGGATAAACTCAACTGAATAGCAGACATGTACAAGACGCCGCTAGGGCAACCTTATAAGGTTCAGCCAGGTTATTTATGGCTTTGCTGATTTAAGGATGTGTGACTTTATGTCTAAGGCCCAGGCTTGTATATTTCAACTTAACCGAGTGTGGTTTTCCCTTCGCAGCTGGAGTCGGACTACAACAGGATTCCAGGTGTCCAAACAGTCAGCGTGGTCCTCATTAAGTAAGAACCAATCCTTTAAATCATGCCTTGTGACATCCAAAGTAGTTACCCTGCAGCTGTGTGCTGCTGCCTGGGTGTCTTACTCTGGCCAGGTGATATTTATTTTCCCTTTTACAAACTGCACAAGGCCAACAGTGGTAGGCCTGTAGTCAGTAATTCAACTGCAGTGAGTAATTCCTCTAAGGGGACGCTAAAAAGAAACTTTACCTCCAGAGAGCCTTCCTGTTAAACCATCTGCAGTGCACGCCACAGACTCACCAGGCTTTTCTTTGCTCTTTGCAGGAAGATGATAAGAGAGGATGGCGTGGACGTATTTGTGGAGATGGATGTGGGTTCTGACTACAACAGCGATGATGAACAGATACGCAGCGTGCTGTACAACGTGGTGAAGGAGGGATCCATTGCTTCCTACGTCACAACGGTCCAGGGCTTTGAGTTCAGACGGCTTGGGGAAGGTAAGACCTCGATAAAGAGGGACACCGCTTAACACGGACGTGAAGTGACTCTGTTACACAAGAGTTGGCTGTATGTTTACAGCAAATTAAGGTCCACCAGAGCGGTAGGCAGTGCCCTTAACGTCTCCCTCTGGTTTCTAGTTCAACCTCTGCCTCCAGTGGAGCCTATAGCAGTGCCAGGTTTGTACTGCGCCATGCCCTCTGCATGGTGACTGGGCCGACTGTACTGTAGAAGCTGTAGGATGACCAGTAGTGCCTTTTAGAAAGAACAGTCGAGCATATCCTGTCTTTTTTTTTATGTTGCAATCGTACAATGACCTTTACCTTGACATGTACAAGCAGTGGTCATGTGGTCTCAGGAATGTTTTGCATGGAAGCACCAATATAAAGCAGACTTCTGAGTGTCTCTAACGTCCACAGTGAATAAGAAAGACCTTTGCATGGCATGAGTTTGATTAGAAATGCTGCTGTTCACTGCAGTCTAAACCAGCTTTTTGATTTACACACATTCAACTCTATACACAGGCATGGCAAGTTCTAGAGAATAATGGTAACTTTATCTGTAATGTCTTTACTCAGAAGATAGGGTTCCCATCTACCTGTCTGTGTACCTTGTCTGACCGTCAGTCTATCCATATATCTGTGTGTCTAATCTAGTCTGTGTAATCTAGTCTACCCTGTCTAGTCTGTCTAGTCTTGTCTGTGTGTCCTGTGTAGTCTGTCTAGTCTAGTGTGTCTAGTCGTATCTAGTCCGTCTAGTCTAGCCTGTTTAATCTGGTCTTGTCTGTCTATTCTGGTCCATCCAGTCTGTATTTCTCTTCTAGTATTTGTGTCTAATCTAGGATGTGTCTAGTCTGTCCATCTATCCGTCCTTTAAGTGGATTTTACACCCAACAGAAAAATTGATCTAATATTTACAATTTGTTTTTATGATATCCTTGAAAATCTCCTTGAGTATCCTGAATCACACCCCTATTGATCGTCTTTACAACATGCCACTCGCTTTACACTCGCTGTAGTGATCTGATGGCTGAGAGGCCCGGGATGCTTGTGTTTTTCACCTCACTTTGTTGTTGCTGTGATATGACATTGGTGTAGTGTATCGGCTGTACTGTAGCCTCTGCATCTCTCATAGTAACCACCGGCATCAGACCCTGCATGTCAGATGAGCACAGGTGTGGTGACGGGACATGTATCCTGATGGAATACCTGTGTGACGACAGACCGGACTGCAGAGACTTGAGCGATGAGACCAACTGTGGTGAGTGGCTTCGGTTGGCTATATATATCATGAAATCATGGCTTGACGTGAGACTCATTCTCTTACGGTAACCGCTCTAAGTAACTACTTTGTACGTTCGCTAAGTTTAATCAGAGATTTGTTTTAGACGCAAATCGGATGCCCCCTCCAGTCTCCACCACACCTACCACCACCACCACCACCACCACCACCACAACCACCACCACCATCAAGAAGCCCCTGCGGCCCCCCAGCCCACCTGGACCCTGCAGGGCAGATCAAGCCACATGCCAGAGTGGAGAGTGTATCCCTCGTGACTACGTCTGCGATGGAGAGAGGGACTGCTCGGACGGAAGCGACGAGATCAGATGTGGTACGTAACACGGACTTGTTCATGTGCACGCTCTCAGACAACAGCGTGCGCTCTGTTTATCCCCTGTCTTTTCGCAGGTACGCCATCTCCCTGTGAACCCAATGAGTTCAAATGTAAAAATGGCCGCTGTGCCCTCAAGCTATGGCGTTGTGATGGAGACAATGACTGTGAGGATAACTCGGATGAAACGGATTGCCGTAAGTCTCCAAGGCAGTCCTGAAAGGTCTGCCTTGAAAGAATAGGTTAATATACGCATATTTCTTTTTCTAGCCAAAGGACTACTGTTTACAAGTGAAATCTCCATTTTGTCATAACTACAGCCACTAAGGGTCCCGGCGATAGGTGTGCTCCCGAGCAGTTTGAATGCCTGAGCGATCGCACCTGCATCCCAGCTAGTTACCAGTGTGATGACGAGCCAGACTGCCCTGACCGCTCTGATGAGTACGGCTGCAGTAAGTCTCACACCAGCAGCTGTCTGCAGCGCTCCGCTCGTATCTTTCATTTTTCTCTCATGCGCACTACACAATTTTCTGTCTTCCCTTTTTGCACTCTCTATATGCTTCTTTGACTCTCCTCTATAGTCACCCTCTGAGTTCCTTTGTGTGCTGTGACTAATTTGCTGTGAACCAGGCTGTTTTCACAAATGTGGCGAATGAGACACAGAGCTTTTTGTGAACCATCCATTACTGAGAACTGAAAGGGAATTGTCCGTCCATAGCGGAGAATTATGTTTCCTCTGACTTTCAGGCATTTATGAGCTTCACTTGATCGCGAAATTCCAGTCACATGCCAGCCTTTTCGTACATGTGCATTTCTTATGTGGTTAATACAGCTCTCATCTTCTTGACACTTTGCAGCCCCTCCCTCTGTCACAAGCCCGCCGGAAGAGTCCATTCAGGCAGCGCGGGGGGCGTCGGTGACGTTCACATGTCAGGCTGTTGGAGTGCCAACACCCATCATCACCTGGAGACTCAACTGGGGACATATTCCTCTCAGCAGCAGGTGGGTTTGATGAGAAATTCTTCTGCTGTACAGTACTACATTACAGATTTTTCAGAGTTAATGGAAAATGCAGTCCAAAATAATTTTGAATATCTTTAGAAATATGCTCTGAATGGGGAAAAAAAAAAAAAGCATGTGTTGCACTGTTTCGGCAAGCGGTCTCAAACAAAACATCTGGTGAAAGCCATTCTTGCTTAATTGATCTGCAGCAGACTATGAGGGTTTAATAACTACTATGAGTTTGTCCTCTCAACACATTTCTCGCCTGACTGTCGACAAACCTGTTAGATCAGGGTTTCTGTGCTGACTCGTACATTTATTTAGACCTGTGATTCTAATTATTGAGATATTTGTGGTGCACTCCAGCTCTAAAAGTTGCAGTATCAGAATGTTCATTCGTGGGCATAGTCAGCTGTGTGTGTGTGTGTGTGTGTGTGTGTGTGTGTGTGTGTGTGGTTAGGCAATTACTGTTGAATTTAATGGATCTTTCTGTAACAATATTTCTGCAGCGGGAGTCAGAAACGAAAGGGTTCCCATTATGGTCCACGCTGTAGCTGACAGAGACTCTCGCCTGAGATTATTACTGTGAAAGTGATAATTTGCGCATTGTTTCTATGTACCCAGGATCTCCATGACCAGCGAGAATGGCCGCGGCACCCTGACCATTCGGGATGTGAAGGAGGCCGATCAGGGGGCGTACACCTGTGAGGCCATCAATGCTAAAGGCCTGGTGTTTGGTATCCCTGACGGCGTGCTTACTCTCACATCGACTGCAAATCCAGGTACTGACATCTCACTTTTACTGTGGGTTCACTATCAGCATCGCTGCCTGTTTTTACTTGAATTCTAGTTACAACAAGAATATAAATCGTCTCGTGTTTTTGTCTTGTTCATTTTAGGCAACTGTCCTGATGGTCACTTTAGCGTGGAGGGCCGCTGTGTCTCTTGCTTCTGTGCTGGAATCTCCAAGAACTGCAAGGGCACCGGACGCTACCGCAACCAGCTCAGCCTGCGTTTCACCGAGGAGGAAGACTTCAAAGGCACTGAAGCCATTGATGCTTATTAAACTAATAGCGAGCTAACAAAGCAGTCACACTTTCAACTAAATAACTTTTTGAAGTTTGTGTAGTCCTTGTATTTAGAGCATAAAACAAGGCTGAGTGAATCTGTTATTCTTACTTCCAGGAGTGAATGTCACCTACCCATCAAGGCCAGGCATTCCTCCTCTCTCCTCCACTCAGCTTCTCGTTAACCCAGAGATGGAAGAGTTCCAGCTTGTCGACGTGTCACGCCGTTTCCTCAACCTTGACTCTTTCTGGACGCTGCCTCGCCAGTTCCTGGGCAATAAGGTAAAGAGTAAAATGATCTACAGACTTTATTGTACTTCACTAAATGTCAAACTTAAGCATTCAATTTATTTCTACTTTTTTTTTAGATTGACTCCTATGGAGGTTCCCTGAAGTTCAAGGTGCGGTACACATTGGCCCGCGGTCTGTCTGAGCCAGTGGAGAAGCCGGATGTAATGCTGGTTGGAAATGGACGCAGGCTCGTGTACCGGAGAGGCAACCCTACCCCTGCCCGAGTGGTCAACCAGAGGGACATCAAATTCACTGAAGTACGTCTTTGGTTAAGAAAGAGCAAATTCTGCACAATCCTGTGGTTCATTTGTGATGATACAAAAATGTTGGAGCGGTTGTCCACAGATTCAAAAACGAGGATTTAAAAAATATGTTAACCACCACATTTCACAACAACAAAATCTATCTGCATAACGTAAAAAATCAAGAGCTGAATATCCCCTATCAATATAATGAAATACATTTGAAGTCCACACACCAGTAAACCTGCTTGGCATTGTTTTAGGATAAATGGCAGCACTCCAACGGCCGCACTGTGAGCCGCGAGGAGCTGATGATGACGCTAGCCAACCTGGACGGCATAAACATCCGCACTATCTACGACAACCACATGGTCAGCGTGGCGCTCGGTGACATTGTCATGGATACCACCACTGTGGAGTTCAGCACTCTGGGTCATGCTAAGGATGTCGAAGAGTGCAGGTAAGACATGAAACACCTCAAGCATGATACTGTGGGGTTAAGTGAGATGGGAGATCTTTACAAGCCTTCAGACAGCAGTCTACGTTCAAAGCTACCTTTTTGGGACGTGTCCAGCGGACACATACTAAGAGTGAAAAGTGCTGCACAATTATACAGTGTCATTCATATACACAATGACACTTTTTTAAATAGTTTGGTTTGGTGGCCAACGTCTGGCCAATGACCTTTGTTGTGTCGCATGTCATTCTATCTTTGTTTTCTTCAGTCAGTTGTTTTTTATTTACAACAAGAGAAAAGTTAGCAATTTGTTGTGTGGTAATTTGACTCTTCATAGTTGTGTTCTGGAAACTGATGAAACTGTGGATGATGATCCTCTTTCCCAGATGTTCTCCTGGATATTCAGGCCTGTCCTGTGAGACGTGTTCCCCCGGTTTCGAGCGTGTCCCTGGCGGCTCCTATCTTGGCACCTGTGCTGGTTGTAACTGCAATGGACACGCCAGCGCCTGTGACCCAATCAGTGGACACTGTCTGGTAATGGTTAACTCCCTTTTTTGGGAGCATAACAGATGTTTGTCTGCTTAAAGCTGTGGTTAGCAACATTGGAGAAACCAGATAGAGTAGGCTCTAATTCTCAGTAAGAAAGCGAGTAAGTGTATGTCCCAAAAATGTCAAACTATCACGTCCTATTTTGAGTGGCATCCCTGCACGAGAATGAGCAGTGTGTTCTCCCTGCCACAGAGCTGCCAGCACAACACAGAGGGCCCTCAGTGTGACAAGTGTCGCTCTGGTTACTTTGGTGACCCGAGCAGAGGTCGCTCAGATGACTGCAAGCCCTGCCCCTGCCCGTACTATGAGACCTCACGGCGGTAAGGTCACAGACCCACTCAGACCACACACAAACATCTACTGTATAAATAGGGGACGACACATACACACTCACACACAAGGCATCAGAGGGAATGGCCAGTGTTGTTTTTTTATTACTCCCAAAAGTGAGCTCATTCACATTGTTTGGCGCTGGTTCATTCAACATGCTACTCATTAACCCACTATTGTAGATTTTAATCTACGGCGTTTTCCTCTGGGCTTTGTAGGTTTTCTGACACCTGCTTCCTGGACGTTGACCAACAGCCAACATGTGACGCCTGCAGGCCCGGCTACACAGGAAGACGCTGTGAAAAGTGAGGAAGCTTATATCATCAACCGTGCCTTTTAAATTGCAATTTAAATAGTTTGTAGATGGCACTAATATTGTTTATCGGACACAATGTCCCTCTTTAATGACTGGCAGTAAAGATGAATTCATATACTTTATCACAAGATTGCTATGAAAACTATTAACAACACAACCTACCCCAGAATATGGTTTTGAGGTAGGATAGGTAAATCACATTGTTCGTTTTATTTCAGGTGTGCTCCTGGTTACCAGGGTAACCCTCTTCTGCCTAATGGAAGATGCTCTCCTTCCACACCTACCCGTGAGTATATGTGTCTCCAACATTTTTTTAAATTCTCATTTCAAGGCATGAAATTGAAAGAAGCTGCACCTGGATTGTTTTACCATCCAGCGATATGCCCACAAGGAGGCCTGTGTAATGATTACCATCGCCCCCCCCCCCCCCCCCCCACACTGGTGTTACAGTAGGCAGTAGTATGTGGTCATAGCTCAGGTATGCAGAGTGGCTGGAACACTCCCAGGTGCACTTTCCACCCCATACAGTATGTCATCTTCTTTCCATTGCTCTCTCCCTGCAGAAAGCTGTGATAACAGAGGGACTCTCACCTCCCGCAGCAGACCATGCAGCTGCAAGGTATATATAAACTGCTCAGTGAAATTTTAACATTATATTATAACCATTTATTGTGAAATCTCTGGTATATTGGAGGGTAACGTGTCTTACTGTTTAGTTTAGTCTTCTGTTATAAAAGAAATTAGGTTGACAGAAGAAAAATCATACCAGTAAAACAATCCAGACAAGTATCCAATTGGCAGATGGATTACATGTGTGCATGTGTGTGTGTGTGTGTGTGTGTGTGTGTGTGTGTGTGTTTCAGAACAACGTGGCAGGCGCTGTGTGTGACGAGTGTAAGGCCGGATTCTTCCACCTATCGGAGACCAACCCCGAGGGCTGTCTACGTTGTTTCTGTATGGGCGTCACCAAACAGTGCGCCAGCTCCACTTGGAATAGAGATCAGGTGCGTTGCCAGTCTACGAATGGTAAAGGGAGGGGTGAATATATTTTTGGTATCAAGGTTTGACTCAGTGTTTGCCCAGTGCCGCTGAATCAGCAAATCCTTTCAGATGCTAAATGGTGAGATTCAATGTACAAATGGTGATTGTGCTGGAGTGCGAGTGCATGTAAATCTCAGGTCACATCTCAGACAAATAGTTTGTGTCTCTCAGGTGCGCGGAGGGGTGAACGGGCAGCTCTTCTCCCTCTCCAACAGTGCCAACACCAAAACTATCTCCGAAGGCATCTCCCAGAGGGGCTCCTCTGAAGTTGTCTACCGCTCATTCTCCAGTGTCTCCAATGACATCTACTACTGGGTCCTGCCTGAGAGCTTCAGAGGAGATAAGGTGAGCGGAAAACCACAAAGTAGAGAGTGGGCTAGGGGATAAGAGAGGAAAAAACTATCAAGTGTTAGTCAAGCTAGATCTGTCTGCTCTTTCTGTCCCACTCAGTCAAGCCTCAACATGTTGTCAAGTGAAAAGGCTGCACTTACCGACACAGAGAGCCTCCTTTGAACCTTTGGCTTGAGTTCACAGTCAGGCCCAACATGGGAGTCTTGTGACTTCCCCCACAGTATCATAGGGGTGAAATACCTTTCCACCATTTAATTTTGTTTTTACCATGTTGCTACCAGGTGACGGCCTATGGCGGGGAGCTTCACTACACGGTGCGGTTTGAACCGTTTCAGCGCTCGCTGGTGATTGACGGCCAGCCAGATGTGGTTCTCCAGGGCAATGGCATCTTCCTGGAGCACTTCTCCCAGACCAAGCCTCTTCCACGTGTCCCACAAACTGTGACCGTGACCTTCAGAGAGGTGTGTTTCATTGTTCACGGGGGAAATATCATTTAGCTAAATCTGAATCCTCGCGCAATGTTAGTGGACTAACCTTTCTCTTTTCTCCTTTCTCTGACCTTCTGGATGCTAGTCTGGATGGCGTCGCTCTGATGGGCAGCCATGTACTCGTGAGCACCTACTGATGGCCCTGGCTGATGTTACTGTCTTCATGATCAGGGCCACCTACGCAGACAACATGGCTGAGAGCAGGTATGGTGGGAGCTTCCTCTGTCACTGCACAGCTCATTCACATACCTCAAAATGAATCCAAAAGCATATATGCCCTTAATGGAACGTTAAGTGTGTTGTTAATTGGATGCTTTTGGTGTTAAATAGTATCTCAGACATCAAGATGGACGTCGCTGTTCCTCAATCTACTGGTAATGAACGTGCTCTGGAGGTGGAAGAGTGCGCCTGTCCTCAGGGATACAGAGGGCCCTCTTGCCAGGTACATGTGCAGATTTTTAGCAGATGTTTAGTTTGATTTAACAAAAAAAGAAATCTGAACCAAAGGTCCACTTTCTAGCTTTTTTTAGAGCTTTCAGCCGCATCTCGCGGTCTTCATCAGCAGGAGTCTGCTCAGTTGTCATGGAGGTGGCTCGTCTGTCATCACGTGACCTAATTATCGTAGGATCACAATTGAGCCATCTCATGACATCCGAGCCTGAGAAGACTGAGATTTTGTTGTAAGCACAAAAAAAAGCTAGTAAGTGGACTTTGATTTAAGTATTTTACTTTTTTTTTCAAGATCAAGAATAAACTTTGATGCTCAAGATGAATTAGTTTAATCTAGTATGAAGAAAGAAAGAGAAGTCAGGCAGTCACAGATATGCCTAAGCTTGTTAATAATAGCACAGTCAACCTTTTTCCATTACAGTCCTTGATGATAATTGCAGTCTGTCTCCCTGCTGCAGTGGAACAAAGACGTATTCCTCTCTGCCATCACTTGTCTCTCACCTGAGGTGTTTTTCCGTGTTGTTGCAGGAGTGTGATGAAGGTTACACCCGGACCAGCTCTGGCCTTTACCTGGGCACTTGCGAGAGGTGCGACTGCAATGGTCACGGCGGCGGCTGTGACACGGAGACCGGCAGATGTCTGGTAGGTTTTATGCTACTCTTCTTTTTTCTTTCTTTCTTATCTGTGCAGTGGAATGCACTAATGGTTTTGTTGGCTAATCCCAACATGTGGAAACACTTGCAAGTACTGTATATTCAACTGTTCCATGAATCTCACCTCTTTTTTTGTGTGTGTGTCCTGACCAAAAGCAATGTCTCCACAACACCGCCGGCTCACGGTGTGAGCTCTGTCAGACTGGGTTCTATCGAAACCCGGTAACGGACGTTGCTCAAGCCTGCCAGCCCTGCCCCTGTCCTGGAACGACTTCCAGCAACCAGTGAGTTAATTATTCTGTTGAATGAAGGACAAGGGAAAGTATGCAGTGTGCAATGCCAGTGCTGAAACAACTCAAATGCCCCAAAGGTCACACTGTATATGAAATAACATGAATACTGCCAAAATAAGCATTCTCATGGTATGTGTGGCCCTGTGTTGGCACAGATTCTCCTCCACCTGTTATCTGGAGTCCGACGGCCAGCCGACATGTGACAACTGCCCCCCTGGATACACTGGCCGACGCTGTGAAAGGTAGGGCCCCCTCCTTCATTTTCTGCTTTTCCTTTTCTACTATGTCTTCCTCTCACGGTCGTCTGGACAGTGTTTTGGGTTACTGGGTTGGCAGGCAGCAAGGTTAGCGGGGGCTGGCAGTAGCACCCAGTGGTTTCATTCACAGGAAAGGGATATACGCATGTCTGTGGTTCGCATCTCTTTTGTTTTTTTTCCCCCAGCAGTTGTGATTGAGTGGTGTCAGTCCAGGGATGGTGCCACCCATTTGTATGTTTTTATACTGTGTGCTGTTTTTCTAGATCTGCTGGTGGATATTATTTTCTTGGATTTATTGATTTGCAAAATGTAAGGTCATCCTTGCTATGGTAGAATAATATATCTTTGTTATAGGATAAGGGGCCTTTGGTGGTACTGATTATGTCATCACTCAAATTTTATTGTTCGTGGAAAAGAAATTTGCTAAAAGAGGAAATTAAGTGCTTTATGTCCTGAGGAAACCTTAATTTTAGTCTGCTTTAGATCCTACCATTGCTTTCTTCTTTCCTTTGCTTTCCCTCCAAAAGCATTCTCAAAGGTGGCTTCCTGCTTCAGCTTTGCGCTTTGCCGGCAACGTAATTTCAAGGCGTTGGCTCAAGTGATTTCTGTCTGTGCACAGACAAAATATAATCTGGGTTTCAACGACATAAATGTAGATGTGGCATTTATGAGGTCTCCTGTCTGGCCAATCAATCTTTGCTGCGCCGAGGGCAAAGATGACGAGGTGACTTGGGTGTAAGATGCAACTTATAAATCATTTACTATCTGAACGTCTCTGCCTGCATCATACCTGATTCTGCTGTTTTGACATTAAGAGAAGAGATGCCGTCTGCAGACAGTTGTGGGGACCCCTTCCTGGACAAGCATGTAGACGGCCTCCTACCTGTGCTATGTGGAGCTGAAGCGGTATTCAATTTCAGCTGGGAGAAAGAGATAGTATCGTATGGCAGTGGAGCTGATGATGAGACCACAGCAACAGCCATAATCCCTACTCGGACTTTATTGTCTGCAGAAACTCACCATCGCACCACTCATTCCACTACAGCAGCTGTGGTGGGCTTTGTCTCAGTCACCCCCAAGAGATCAGCGACCAGACTCCCACCACGCTTCACCCCCAGCCCAGAGATCAGACACTCCAACTTCCAGCACCTCCTTCGGATTCACCTGAACACCTTTAACCAACGCCTGAGCATGCTGGAAAGAAACACGCTTGACATGAAGGAGAGCATTCACACTATGGAGGACCAGCAGAGTCATCTCAACTCCCAGCTGAAGGAGCTCATCGCCATCCAGTCAGCTGGGGAGAAGAACAAGAATGTTGGCGAGCTAGAGAAGAGCTACACAGACATGGACACCCGTCTGAGCAGACTGGAGGGAAGGCTGGAGATCCTGATTGACGGCTTCACTGCCCTTGCTCAGGAGATGAACAAAATGAAACGTGCCAGACACGTCTCCCGTTCGCAGCAAGAAAAGAGGGCTCTGCCCTCACTCGCTACAGTCAGAGAAATGCCATTTACCAGCAGAGCCACAGTGCCCAAAAGCATACCTACCCCGGGCCTCCCCGCAAACAAATCCACTTCTGCTTCTCAGAGAGGGAGAAAACTCAAATCAGCAACCACCACTACACCAGTAAAGAATGCAGTCAAATCCGAAAGGCTGGTCTCAACAAGGTCAACGCTTAAGTTTCGGACCACCCTGGTTAAACCTAAGACTACTTCAAAATCTACATCTAAAGCTACAGTGAAGCCTCAAACAAAAAGGCCTGGAGGTAGGAGGTCCGCTGTGACGGTGAAACGTGTTTCACAGCCAAGCCAAAAACATCGAAAGCCAGTTAAAGAAGCAATTACAAAATTTCAACTGGAGCCACCATCTCACCAACCAAGGCCTGCAAAGCCTGGCCACGCCAATAGAAAGGATTCTTTACCTATCAAAAGCAATGGACGCAACAAGGCCTTTCGATCAGATGCCCCAGTTACTAATAAGGTCCGGGAGGGGGGAAAGCCTTCAGAAGGCAACTCAAAGAATTTGTCTAAGTCACACAAAGGTAACTCTAACAAGAATGAGAAAAAGATGGAGACCAACTCAAAAAAGTTGGTCTTTCACAATACAAAGAAGAATTCTGCGAAGAACACAGACTCAACCACTAAACCCACCAGAGTTACCGCTGCAAAGAAGTCTCACGCAACAGTAAAAAGAACGACTCCTGCTAAAACTAAAAAAAAGGCTACTACTGCCAAGAAGAAGTCTAACACGACAGTGAAAAGAAAATCAACTAAAACCAAGGTTGCTGCTGCGAAGAAAGTAACTAAAAAACACCCGAAGAACAAAGAGAAGAAAACTCAATCTGGTGTTTTGAACCTACTGCAGTTCTTACAAGGAAACAACAAGTCTGCAAAGCATAAAAAGCATCAGGACGGTTCTCTTCATGTTGTTTTGGGAAGGCTGGCCATTCCAATCAGAATCATCCCTGATGACTAGGGAATAATGTGTTGCTTTTCATTATTTTAATTTGTTTCCATTATGTATATCTCTGTGCTCTGATCCTGATATTTATGTCTGTTACACATCAATGGAAGTTAATGAAGGGACTGATTTTATGCCACGGGACTTTTCAGATGTCATCCTGATGTGGTGTTATATTATTATACCAATTACTTAAGGTGTGTTTTATTACAATCAGAACTGTTGCTGTGCTATGCTATGAAGAGATAGCTTAGTAGTAGTACCTCTTATGTGTAAACATTTGTCCATTGTGTTAATGCCAGACTACCTCAAATTTTACACCCCGACCCTTTGTTAGATCATTCCAAGAACCCCCATGCCCATCAATGTTGTTTCCTGCATTCTCATGGGAATGCTTTATTGTTTTCCAATGTGTTGATGTCCTGAAAAAGCCTTACACCTCCATGCCACTTTGTGATTTCAGGACTTGTATGGATGTTTTTAATCAAAGATCCCAAACATGTTCCATTTTTGGGTATTTTTATTTTTTGGATTGTCTTAAGAAGATAGGTTAAAGTATAAAATATCAAGGGTAAAGAACAAGTACATTATAAAGTAGATTAACAACCTAACATCCCCCTAGTGTTATTACATGCTGTAATAATAATTATATGCATCATTTTGAAAAGGTTGGAAGAGCAAACAAAACATACTTTTTTGTTATTCGTAGAGCTTAAACAGTAATGAGGCCCTTCACACTAATGGGTCGCCACCAATTTTCTAAGGGACATTTATGGTCCCCAGAGGATGAATTTCAATGATTTTGGTGATTCCCTGGCTTTTCACTTAGCACGACCAGCAGGTCAAAATGTAATTCGTCCATTACTTGGTTTATGACCCATCAGCTGTACGTTGTACTTACTCTAAACGGTAAACATGGCAAAAATTATACCCGAGTATGTGAGAACAGCATCACAGAGCTGCTAGCATGACTGTAGACTCTGTCTGGTGGATTAAACCTCTTGGGAGCATGAACATGCTGGCATTTGTCCAGTTAGATTATGAGACATATTGGTGAAAAAACATTATGGACTGATGTTAGCTGTAGTTTTAAAGGTCATGGGTTCAGCCAAAGCAATAAGAAATTCATCATGGACTCATGTAAATCCAGCCTTTTGTTTTGGAAGTCAAATATATATATATAAAAACTCATTGTAAGGCCAAAGTATATAGGGATTATCCTCTGTGGAGCATGACATTTTACAATAAACTTTATATTTTTATATTTTGTACGTACCTGATAATATTTTTGCCCAATAGTGGCACTAGAAGAAAGGACGGATGTACCTTAAAACAACTGGACTCATTTTCTGGGGACCATGAATATCCATAATCAAATTTGATGGCAACTTTGCCAGTAGTTGCTGAGACCAAAGCAGTGACGGCTGATCACCCAATATTTCCACTAGGGGGACCAAGGTTTGATCTACCGCTGAGCAGCTGTCGTATCATCAGCATTTAGAGAAATATAAGGAATGCATGGACACCGTTTTCAAGATCATTCTACACATTTTGGGGGGAATTAAAGTTTAAATTGTTTGTAAAAAATGTTTTTAATGTGATGTAAAACTAAATTGTTTGTCATTTTGTGTTTATGATGAGCTGTATGTCCATTCTTAATAACCTTTAGTTATGAACACTTTTGGTGTTTTCCCATGACCAAATCTATTTTGATGTATTTTTTTATTCCCCCATATAATGACATTTATCCTCATCTTTAAATCTATAAAACAAGACTGACTGGAGGGACTGAGTTAACCATCCCTTAGAAACTACTGTACGTCTCAGAGTTAGTTTGAATAGAGTTTCCCAAAGCAAGTACATAGCTTGGAAGTCCTCTTGTTGGCTGTTGACCGGCGGACCTGCCAGAGGACAGGTGAGGTAAGACTGACAGCAGCTGCTCCCAGGGCAGCCTGCACAGATCTGGGGTTGGATAAACGTTTGCTCTGGTGGCAGTGGCGTTGTTTGCTTGGGTTGAATACATATTGCTTTGCTATGTCACACTATCAGAACAAACTTCCCCATTAGCAGCTTAGTGTCCTCTTCTTCATCTCTTCATATCAAGTCTGTCTGTACTCACCTCTGCTTTGTTCTGATAGCAGTTCTGTATTCGTGAAGCTTTTATTTTAACATTTGTTTTTTAAATGTGGTGATATTTTCTCTTTTAATGTTTCTGTTCCTGTGCAAAGGTGTTCTTCAGTTTCAGCTGCATCACACTCGTATGAGAGATGGAATCAACATCTGAGACATGTTGAGGCTATGCTTCGTCCATCTCCAAGCAATATTTCATGACCTTTGTCTCTGGGGAACCTGTTTGTGTTCAGTGCAAAAGCTGGGTGTGTCTATACTAGTGCTTAGTGCAGATATGAGTACTTAGTGTGTAGAATAACAGAATAGTTTGTACGTTCCTTGCCTGAATGACTCATTCCTTTGTTCGTGGTTGAGGTCTGCCTTGGGTCAAGAAGACTCCCCAAAGGACACGATTCATTAAATGTATCACCTATTGCAGACCTCCCAGCTTCCTGCCTCATTGTTCTTTGGGTTAAGACTTGTAGTCTCCTTGACTGGAAATATTCACTCAAACACATCTTCTATTTTTGTTTCAGATGTGCAGCAGGATACACTGGCAATCCACCGCTTGGACAGAGATGTATTGTTGGTAACAATGACGTCAATGGTACATACTGTGTTTTAATTCAGAAACATGACAGATATTGTTCCATCTTCTAGCTTGTTCTTTATCTTAAAATAAACGTTGCATAAATTCCCTCCATGTCATTAATCTGGATTTAACTATGTCTCTTTAAATAGAGAGCATGTCCACACTGTAACTATCTGGTCTACTGTCCTGTTTCAGGTAACTGCTACAACTGTGACCAAAGAGGAAGTGACGGTTGCAATGGTGGTGTGTGCCGCTGCAAGGTGATCAAACAAACCTACTTACTGGTGGTTGTTATCTTTCGTATCTTTGTTCCCACCTCCAAGGCATACTAGAATGGACGGATTTCTTTGTATCTCATCATTTAATAATGTATTGCAGTTGAACGTCGAGGGCCCATCTTGCTCCAGCTGCAAGTCTGGAACCTTCCACCTCAGCCAGGAAGACAAAGACGGCTGCCTGTCCTGTTTCTGTATGGGCGTCACTCAGCAGTGCTCCAGCTCTACCTACTACAGAGACCTGGTAAGGCCTTTAAGTGGTACCTGACACAATGACACGGCAACAGTGCAATGGTTCACACCTCTGAACAACCAAACCAAAAGTAAAGTTTGTACTGGATAAAGCAACTAAGCGGCAGCAAAGATCATATCAACAAGAGTGTCACACGTTTATTTCATAGCAAAAAGATGTGTGTGGTCTAAATTCATTCATTCAGTCTAGATTCGCTCTCATCACACCATCCTTAAGTGGTTCTAAACTAGTGAGATCACATCCATCGGCGATGTTTGCCAGAGGTTGACTGATATCTCCCCACTAGGCAATTATTTCTGTAGATCTACCCTTTCCCCAAGTAACTGCAAAGATAAATTTTGACATGTTGTCTCTCAGAATTTCCCCAGAGCCAAAAGGGTGAGATCTGGATGTGAAATCTATAAGGTCGCATATAGACTTCCCATTTAGAGTAAGCCCTGCACACGCTACTAAAAAAGACAGCTTGGTGGATTGGGAAGCAAAACAGTTTTAAGGGCTGTGATGTAGCAGTAAAGTCAACAGATAGATTATCAAGAAATACTGAAACTTATAAGAGTCTTTACTTGAGTGAGTTGTTGCTTCCTAAATGTCGGGCAAGACTCAACAGCAGCTGATTCGTCAGTGTTTGGCTTTGCCTGTTTCCTTACAATGTTCACGCTGTAAGCAAAGTAAGCCAAATGTCCAATCATGATCAAAATAGCTGCTGTAATGTTAGCAGTTATTATTACATTTGTTTTATTTCAACTGCATCTAAATGTACGTTCATGCTCTTGCAGGTGTCCTCAGTGTTTTCTCCAGGAAACTTCCAGGGATTCGCTCTGGTGAACCGCCAGCGCACCAACCGTATCTCCACTGGTTTCACTGTGGAGGTTTCCACTGAAGGCACTCAGCTGTCCTACACCAACTTTGATTACCTGGGACAGGAGCCTCATTACTGGCAACTTCCAGGGGTCTACCAGGGAGACATGGTCAGTATCAAAGAGCACATACAGCAGCTTAATTAGTGGAACCAGGCCAAAAAAGACTATGAACCCATTAATGCTGTGTATAAGGGGCTGAGCAGCACTCGTCAGAAACTTGTAGACCGCTCTTATTCTATTGCTGTCTCCATTTTTCTGCTTCGTCCTGCTTAAAACTTCAGCCAATCTTTCTTTTCAAGCTAACTTCATTTCAAGCAGATTGCTTTTTTTTCAGTCTCTGTGCAACATCTTTGCCTCTGTTGCTACCTTTTTGTTTCATCTTTTTAACTCTGTGTTTTCACAGGGTAAAATAATGTGCACAGATTTAGTGGGCCCCAGTGTCCACTTACATAACATAGCTCTCCGTTTCTTTATGTTTGCCTCTGCACTCTCTATAGAAAAAATCTTTTTTTGCTCGCACAAAACGAGCAGAGCAGGTACAGTAATGTCAGTCAGTGGCTGTAGTGTTGTGACTGTAGTAGTACAGTGATGTTTGGCATGTTTAAAAATAACTGTTGATGTGGCAGTGTGTGAAATACATTGTACTTTTTGTGTTTTAATCACTCTTGTGCTTATTGAATTGTATTAGAAGCATCGTGTTTTACAGCAACGTATGCAGTTTGCAGCTGAAGGCGGCCACTAAGTGTTTCTTAGATTTGACCACTCACAACACAGAATGTGCGTATTGCACACAGAAATTGTGTTCTGCTCCACATCACACGAGCCATGTAAACGGATTGATCATTAATGGTCCATTAAAGAACTTCATACTGTTTAACTTTGCTCGAATAACACTCCCAAATACCATCAGCTCAGTGATGAGGAAAGTGATCAAAGAGCTTACTTTATCCACATCAATAGAGTGACTCGCACTCACCAGAGGAGCAGCTAAGGAAGGATGCTTCCATTTGGAACCTAATGGCCTCTGAACGTAAAGACATCCACAGAGTCAAAAGAACGAGCCAGGTATTGGGTATGAACTGCACCGTAGATATAATTAGTTATAATGAAGGCAACACTCGCATGTCTAATGGGCACAACTGATGCACAGTGTTTCTGTCATTATAAGCTGGCACGCTGAGAGTTTGTGGCCATCTGTGGAAAAATACATCCCCTCCGTACATAGATGTAGCAGCACGAAGCATCACCTTGGTTCGATGAAGGATCACTGAGCAGGAGCATGTTGTCAGACTCTATGATCGCATTTGCATGTTTGTGAAACACAAGGAGGTCTGAGTTGGGACGCAAAGTCTCAGGAAAGTTACTACAGTGCAAGAAGTTGGTGATTCGTGTGTTTCAGCGGCGTGATTCGGCTGTTTGGAGTGAGAACTATTCCTTCAGCCCGGCCCAAATGGTGTTGTGCAGCACATCCAAGCATCATAGACTAAAAAGCATGACTCAGCATGTTCACTTCCTTACGTTGATCTGCATCAGTGTACATAGTGGAAGAGCTTAATTCCGAATCCCTTCTCCGTTATGTTGACTGTTACCATGGTTACATATCTTCTGTATCTCCGGTGCTCCGCTTTCCGCCTCTCCAGGGTGATGTCAGACAGCTGGATGACGAGGTCTGGGCTCTCTTCTCTAACTTCTCCAAAGGACAAGCTGGTTCCTCTCCATTCTTTCCCTCCTCCTCTAAATCCTCCACCTCTTCCTCCTCTTCTTCTTCCTCTCGGATCCCAACTTCCTCCTCCTCTTCCTCTCGATGGTCTTTGCGTAACCTGAGCCCCTCTTCTTCCTCGTCCGGTATGTCCTCTTCAGTTAGGACAACCAGACCCCAGCCCTACTCCGCAGGCCGCTCTCCCCATCTGCAGGTACACTCTGTCAGAGATTGCAAGAGGTTTAGGAGTCTTTTTCTGTTTCTTGGTAATATTCTTGACTTCTGGTATTTCTCTTTGGGGTCTGGCCCGGCTGTGGATCGAACAGAGCAAGAACTCAGTGAGCAAGACTTTTGCTCGTGCTTCTGGGGACAGCAGCAAGGTAGACCGTGGCATGTGGCGGACTTCATGTCTCGCCTCTGTAATGATGTCTCTGATACTAAAGCTTTAAAAGTTAATTAACAACCAACTATCCTTAGATATGATAAAGAATAGATTTGGTTTGTAGTTACCAAAGAATGGATCATTTACACGGTTCCAGTGCTTGACTGGGTGGTATTCTCCATTGTTAAGCATATCGTTGCCTCTCAGAGCTTTCACTGTAATTGTCCACTTGAGAGGAACATGGGTTTTACAATGCTCTGTCATTATAACAGCGTTAAAACAGCCTCTTACTGAGGCACAGGTGCACTTTCAAATTGTTGACAGGTGTTTTCGTCGTCAGAAAGGGCACAGTGCGACTTCAATGCTGTTATCAAATTGTCAGTGGAGCCTTTAATAGCACGCATACTAAAGTACATGTACTTGAGAGTTTAGCTGAATGGCGCACGTTTGTCCCAAGATTCTTATTCTTTGGCGCGCTTGCCTGCTTGCACTACTTCTCTGCCTGCTTATTATTTGAGTCTTGCTGACTCCCTCCATCTGTGCCTTATTCTGTTCTGCCTTTCCTTCCTCCTCTGCCTCTCAGTACGCTCTGGTCTACAAAGGTTTCAGCTTGCACCAGGATGATCTGCTCTACTGGCAGCTCCCAGCGCAATTGACAGGGGAAAAGGTAACAGTGAGAACTTCAGGGGGGACGTCCCTTCCTGACCGACAAAATACAACACCCCTAGTATCCCCATGCCCCTCAGCCCCTATCCTCATACCCGCTTCTATCCAGCCCCTCACATGTCCTTTTAAATTGTACCTTGGCAACTACTGAATGAGTACTAACACAAAGAATAAACATTACACTACCAAATAGTCAATAGTGCACTTTAAATTATACAACTTACGTGAAGTATCAAGTACCGCACTAACTCATGGCCTGCTGTTCAGACCGTGGTAACTATGGTTGGTAAAGTCAGATAGCTCCAGGTATCCAACAAATGTCACCACAATGAGGAAAAAATGCTAATGACGTCGCCGTCGGGTGCTTTTCCGTTCTGAGTTGAACTTTTTTCAACTGGTGGCGTTCAGGGTGTGTTGGTTCAGGGCGCGATAAGCTTCACTCGCATTGAAAAGGATTACAAAAGGCTCACACAGGGCTGCTTATACGCTCTCTGTCTGATCAGGGCCTAAGAAAGGCGCGTGCCATGACTAGTGTAAGGTTGTTCATAATCCACGCACACATTTAGAAATAGAAACCTCAAATATCCCTTACTACTCTTGTGTTTCCCCTGCTTGGCTGTCTTAGATTTAACATACATTCTATGAAGGGCTCAAAATACAAATACCAGAAGTCATAAAATTGTCTTCTGTGTCTTTAAAGGGATACTCCAGTGATTTAGTATTGCGCTTTTTTTAAAGTTGGCTGACTCACAAGTTAACAATAGAAAAAGAACAGCTAAAATTGAACGGTTCGTCAACGGTTCGATCCCCAACTGGGATGTGTCACGTGTCGAAGTGTACCTGAGCAATACACTGAACCCCAGGCTCCCCGGGTGCCTGTCATTGGCAGCCCACTGCTCCCTATATACAGGGATGGGTCAAATACAAATTTCCCCCTTAAAGGGATCAATATAGTATAATAAATTAAAAAAATTTAAGCCTCAACCCAAGCTCAGATTCCTGATGACATCATCAGGGTTATTTTTTCAGAATTAAGAAAGCTCCCTTCCAGAGCCATGGAAGGGAGCCCCATGACGAGTAAATTACACATGTTAACTGTTACAACAACTTTCACAATAACTTTGCTCCTTCCCATCCTTCTAGGACATCGGATTTGACTTAACTGTACAATATGTGTTGCTTTAAGAAGCCACTTGGCATTCATTTTTGCTACATTTGATGTTTTCCGTTTTTATCAAGACAATTGCAGCATTGTTTGACCTGGCAAAAGATCTAAAGCCTCTCCCCTGCTAACCATATCTTAGGTGGGTTCTTACGGCGGCAAGATTAAATACTCCATCTCCTATGTGGCTGGGCCAAGAGGAACACTACTTGATGATGGCGATGTCCAGATTATTGTGAGTATATGCCGTCATGCGGATTCACTGTTTTCAAAGCATTTGTAGCTTTTACTGACCTGTCAGCGTTGTTCTTGTAGGGTAACGACATCACTTTGGTAGCTAGTCAGCCCTGGAAGAGGAGGCAGCAGGGCAGCAGAGAGACTAACCAGTTTGAGATTGTCTTCAAAGAGGTGAGTGACCCGGAACAATACTCTTACATGGTGAACAGAAAGTGTATCGGCCTGTTGAAAGCATCTGGCCTGTTCAAGGGATCCATGACTGTAATAATGAAGTGGTGTTTTTATTTCTGATTAAAATACATTAAATAAAAGAATAAATGTGCTCTTACTGCATGAGAAAAGCCAAGGCTTCCATTTTGTCTCACAGGAAAACTGGCGTCGTCCTGACGGCATGCCGGCCACCCGCGAGCACCTGTTGATGGTTTTGGCTGATCTGGATGACATCCTGATTCGAGCATCCTACTCCACTGAGATGCGGTCCTCCAGTATCTTTGATATCAGCATGGAAGTGTCGGTGCCTAACTACAGCGGCTTGGCTCAAGCCCTCGAGGTGGAGCAGTGCCGCTGCCCACCTGGATACCGGGGACTGTCTTGCCAGGTACATTTTTTTATTTATTTTTTATTTTTTTGAATGGTTGATTTCACTAGAAGCAATACAAGCTAATTGTGCTTCAATAAAATGCTCATTGTTGTATGATTATCTTAATCACATTATGTTTCTTTAAGGACTGTGCACCTGGGTACGCTCGCACAGGAGGAGGTTTATACCTGGGCCATTGTGAGCTCTGTGAATGCAATGGCCACTCTGACTCCTGCCACCCTGAAACTGGCATCTGCATGGTACGAAGCACTAGATTAGCGTATGGCTGATATTTGGCAAGTTGTTGTTAGATTATAGCATCCTGGGCAGATCTATAAACATGGCACATTTCTTCTTCCAGAGCTGCCTGCATAACACTCAGGGGGAGCTCTGTGAGCAGTGTGCTCCTGGCTTCTTCGGTGACCCCACTGTTGGCACTCCAGAGGACTGCCAGCCCTGCGCATGCCCTCACAATGACCCAGACAACCAGTGAGTACTGGTGCTTATACCAAGACTTCACATTCCACCTCCATTAATAGCTCAAGACTCCGTGTACGGCTCACTTGCTCTTGTTTAAACAGCAAATTCTACTGTCTTGTAAATTCTGGACTTTCGTTTCCATTATTAACCTACTTCCTGCCAACTAACAAGAAATATTATATATTCATTTTCAGTCAGTTGCTTCCACTGCAAATTGACTCGTTTTTTTAATCAAGCATCAACTTGTGGTGCCTTTGCTATACTCCCATGCTTCAAAATATTCATAGCTGTGTTATGGATATCCCTATCTGGAATTGTCTCATAAAGATTTGTTCCAGTCAATTCACAGCAAACGATCAATGTGAGACCTAAAGAAGAAGTTGATACTGAACCTTATTCTGCTCAACAGTTCATCTCCTTGTCTCTGTGTGTAACTCATGCAGGTTTTCCCCCACCTGTGAGAGCCTTGGAAATGGAGGCTACCAGTGTACTGCCTGTCAGCCTGGGTACACTGGCCAGTACTGTGAGCGGTAAGATAACCCTACACGTTGTCTTGATGTGGGTCAAAACAGTTACTGAAATCATTTCATGTAGTTCGTTTTGATAAATTGCACCTTCTAAACACCGTCTAAATAGGAAACACTGCAGTTTTCCATGGTATATCTATCAAAACTTGAGCTGGATAAAACATTGTTGACTGAAGTCAAGTGTGGTTTCTCTGTCATCAGTTGTGCTCCTGGATACGTCGGCAACCCTCAGGAGAGACAAAAGTGCCGTCCATACGATGGTAAGGCTACATTTCACTGAGGTAAAAATATGACTTGGGAGAGACGGAGCCCCCTGTTCCCGATGCAAACTGTCAGTCAGTGTGGACTGTCCAGAGCATATCAGGGGTCTGTGGCAATGTTGGCATTTGACCTGACCTGAAACACATACCTCGTCTTGTTTACCATGCTTCGTTGGTGGGCCTTTTTTGCGGTGTCATCATAATTGATAGTTATACAACCAATGTGTAATAGATTAGATAAATTTTAATAATGGTGACTTCACACTCCTTATTAGATCAGTTGCAGTTCTGCTGAAAGCATCTGAAGGAAGAAAAATCCAGCTCACTGCCTAAGCTCGCTTTGTGAAATACCACTCTGATGCCATTTGTCTGATGTTTTAGAAAGTATTCCTGATTAGTTTGTCATGACCTTTGCACTTTGCAGCTGCAGCCTCACTGGTGGTGAAGGTTTACCCAGAGAGGGTCCTGTCATCCCAGGGTGGCTCTGTCACTCTCCGGTGTCAGGTGTCCGGCTCTCCTCCACACTACTTCTACTGGTCCAGAGAGGATGGACGATCCATCTCCAGCAGTGTTGACAGACGCAGACAAGGTACGGCACACACTTCAATCACGCGGCCACAACAAGTGTGGGATGGATGAATGATCGTGTCCTGTAGATCCAAGAAATCCCTAAAATGCAATTGAAGTGTGACTTGTGCTCTCTTTCTTTTGGTTTTAATCTGAATACATGTATTATATATATATATATATATAATTGATATACATATAGGACAACAAATTTATGTTTGAAAACAACACCTGTTGATCATCTGTGTGTGCAGGAGCAGAGCTGTACTTCACCAACGTCCAGCCGAGTGATGCCGGTGTCTATATCTGTACCTGCAGAGACCAGCGCAGCACCAACAGGAGCCACGCTGAAATTGTTGTCACAAGTGTGTATGGTCTCACTGCAACATTAGCTAATAGGTTTTTGTCACGAAGCTTAGTGCGGCACACTTAAGAGATACCATCTGTGATTAACACATGGGTTTGCTTATGCACGAATTATGTAAGACCTCATTCTTTAGTTTAGTTGACTGTAGTGTGGAGCTTCATTTTTACATTTTGACTGAATTGCTGCAGTCAATGAAGAAAAGGCAGCAGAGCTAACCGAAAGTGCAAAAATGCTTTACTGGTTTTATGCCAACATAAGAACTACCAGTCATTAGAATTTTAGATTTTCACAGGGTCACCTGTAAGTGTTGATCTTTCATTTTGTGTCTTGCAATACACTAACTGTATTTCTGACCATTCAGTATAAACTAATTGTCTCTCTGCATTTCACCAGGTGTCCCATCCAAAGCCATTGAGGTCACAATCGAGGAGCCCAAAGCCCAGACTGTCAGGCCGGGCTCAACCATCAATTTCATCTGCACTGCAAAGAGCAAGGTAACACTGGATGATGATTGTAGTACGGAATAGTTTGACATTTTGGGAAATACTTGTATTCACTTTCTTGCCGAGAGTTAGATGAGAAGATTGATCACTTCTACTCTTATCTGTCTATTAAATGTGAAGCTGGAGCCAGCAGCTGGTTAGCTTAGCTTAGCCTAGCATAAAGACTGAAAACAGCTAGCCTGGCTCTCAAAGGTAAACATCTCCATCTATCAGCACCTCTAATTGAAACTCACTGCTGGTTGCCCGGCTCCTTCGTGTTGATAAAATGACTCCGTACCCTGCCCTGTAAAATCACAAGTTGTTGTTCAACGCTTCCATTTTTGTTAATTAGGAGCTTTGTGGCTACTGGTAGGCATATTTTGTTATTGTTGGACAGAGCAAGGCCAGCTGTTTCCAGTCTTTATGCTAAGCTAGGCTAATGGTCTGCTGGCTTTAGCTACATGTTTAGCATACAGACATGAGAAAGCCAGAAAGCGAATGGAAAAACAAAACTGTTATTTTAATATAAAATGTTTAAACACTATATTTTACATTACTTAAAAAATCTAGAAATGTGGTTCACTTCACGTTTATATATGATATTAAGCACACGTTGCCACAATGCTGTACGCACATACAACAGAACGTTTAGTCTTCATTAAAAAGTTGGTCTGCGAACAACAAGAGCATTTTTTTCCCATGTTTGAGATTTGCATGCATCTTATGATGTGTGTGTGTGTTTATCTGCGCACCCCTTTCACAGTCACCAGCCTACACCCTGGTGTGGACACGGATGGGTAACGGGAAGCTGCCCAACCGGGCCATGGACTTCAACGGCATCCTGACAATTCAGAATGTCCAGCCCGAGGATGCAGGCGCGTACGTTTGCACAGGCTCCAACATGTTTGCCATGGACGAGGGCAATGCCATCCTCTACGTGCCAGGTTCGTGATCCTCGGCACCGCATTCCATTACCCATCACCCCCCAGCTACCCTACCAGCTCTGGCTCCCGTAGTTTCCATCCCCCTAAACTCCCCCTCCAGCTTGCGATGGTGCATGCTTCTCTGTTTTACCGCATCTCTCATCATGCACTATAAAACACTCAGCTCTGGGTTAACAGCATAATAAGCTTGCAGCTCTAACTCCCAATGCTTTTGCCTTCTGCTCTCAGATACCAACATAAAGGCTGTGTCTTATTATCATACTGCCAATCAAGCTATTCTTACTGCCTTTTTTTTAACTTGCTGTTCTGTATGTCAGTGGATATGAAGAAATACAGCTTGTGGGTTTGGTAACACTAAAACTGTAGTGTATACATTTTCCAGATAGTGTATGGGGTCAAGTATGCAGTAAGAGATTTAACGAATGGGTTCTCAAAATAATGACGCATCCACTACACTTCAGTCTAATGAGCGCTCTTTGGGATCAGTGATTTGTGGGTAATGCTTTCCTCCAACACTCTACTGAGGCTACTGCAGATTTATTTCTTTCCTCTTCATATTTTTTTTTCCACATGGGTTGAATTAATTGGTGGTGGTTTAGTTGCTCCTTGGTCACTGGTACAGTTGCTGGTTTCTGCTGTTAGAGGTTTCACTAGCAGGGTGCTGGATTCTGGTGTCTTTACCTTTTGGGCTCCTGGGGCAACTCCCTGCCTGAGCTGTAGCGTATAATGATGAGGAGGAGGAGGAGGAATGTGGATGCCACGATTGGTGCTTAGTGACTCTGCGACTGACACTCAAACAGGACTTCAGAGTATCTGGAAGAGATGAGAAGTAGGAAGAACCCCACCACCCCTGATTTCTGTGTAACAGTATTCCTTCCTGAAATTACTGTCTGCCGAATGAACAAAACGGTGCTATTAGCCATGCAGTTGGTTGAATTCACTTTCTAAACGTGCTGTTATACTGCTGTAATATCACTCCTTCATTCCTTTAGTTTCGGCATAAGTCGGTCGTGTTTGTATCGATTGTTACTTGTCAGATTTAGTTGGTAAAATATTTCTGCTCTGACTTGAAATACCAAAAGAACATTTTTTTTTTTTTTTATCCTAATTTTGTCAATAATCATCTCTAATTGTACATTATGGTATTTTTATATTCATCCTGTCATTGTTGCTGGCACATTTTCTTTTTTTTGATTGACTGAAATATGTTATCCTGAAATTTTTCCATGAAATCAAATATATCAGAAATGTTAGAATTTCTTTTCTTTTTGGTAATTTTATTTCAAGGGAATTTGCTTTGTGAATGCAATTACCCTGCATGATGTGTGTTTACATTTCAGCATGTTCATGTGTTTTTACAATAAACAATATATATTTATATATCTCTGAGAACATCTTACACTTCAATTACAGGTCACATTTAAAATCTTTTCACCTTCATTACTTTACAATGACTGCATTAGCTATATCTGTTCCTTCATGACTCAAAGGCTATATGATTGGAAATATACCCAAAGGTGCTTCTGTAAAGATTTTACTCTCACATTTTTTTTAAAGAATACCTATCTGATGTAATGCACACATGTAACGTATTTATCTTAACTGTGAAAATATTTTGTGAAAAAGAGCAAATTTGATTAAAATAATGACAATTGATCAAAGTGATTTTCTAATTCATGGATGTGTATCACTTACATATATTACCTTGATCAACCACAAGCTGTATGTGTGCTTCTTAACAGCTGAAATGGAACTAGTGTTCCAATGTTTGAAACTGCTTTTTGCTACTAACCTGCATGTCTCATGTACACCGCATAACTCCATCTCTCCTTGAGCTGCTGCACAGTTTTCATAGTCATGATCTTTGAGCGTATGTGTGTGTGTGTGTTTGTGTATCTTGATTTTTGAATTCACAGCATAAGAAGCATTTTGGAGCGTTTTTGTTTTTTGGTTTGTGTAAAGTGTGAGATAAGCATGAACTGTTCCAAGCAAATGGGCGTTCTAACCAACATACCTCAATTCACGGTGATCTTCATTTCCTCAATAAATAAACATCAGGTAAGTGTGAGAATGGAATGAATTAAATGGCACCAACCATCATGATCACAACATTATCAAATAGTGAAAATACCTTAAGTGCTTGGCGTCAAGCTGGTGGCAGTTTAATTCAAGTTCAGGATTTTTATTTTTTTTTTTTGCATGTTTACATTGTGTGTGATGTTTTTTGGAATCAATTAGACAAAACCACAACAGCCCAGCAGTTTGGAGATAAGTGTCTCTGGGGGAGGTACATTTACTGTTTACCCAGAAACCTGACCTATCAGTTTACCTGTCCCCCCCCTCCCACCCCCTCCCTCCCCTTCCTCCCACAACTCCAGAGGCCTCACAGACTCAGATGTTTTACACAGCCTATGAAATGTTTGAAGGACATGGAAAGCGTAAGTCCGCATGGGCATGGTTTCCTTTCTGCCGGGCTCCCTGGAGGGACCGGCCTCTCCCTCTCTGTGTCATGCATGCACTCATCTTCCTCAGCATGGATATACTGGTGGCCTGTTAGCGCCCATGTACAATCCACCAAACAGCATCTGCAGGAACTCTACAAACACGACTGGCCAGAGCCTCTGTGCTGTCTTATATTCTTTGTTAGCAATCGTCTTTAGTGGAATTCAGAGCTAAAGATGGATATATGCTTTCAGTATATTAGTATATATTATTATATTATATGTTGACAAGTTCCTGTCATGTTAAAGAGTCAAAGCTTGGATTGTACATGAGCATTACTGGCTCCCACCTGGCTCTTTGGGTTCATCGGAGTCCATCACTGCAGGAAAAAGTGCATCTGTATTCTAAGGACAACTCCTCATGAATGTTGAGTCAAGTATCCATTAAAAAAAAGATCACAGTCAGTGTTCAAAGCTGGTAGTGTAAATGACAAACCAGTAACACTACTTAAGAGATCTGATAACAACAGTTGGAAGCTAGATGCTTACTTACAATGTCTCCACATTCAGAGACGAGAGATGTCCCTTATTCTTCTTTCTCTTTGCACTTTTGCTTTTTCCTTTTCCTCCTCAGGACAGGTGCTATACCTGGAAATAGCTGTCACCTTGGCTTCAAACATCATGCTGTGCTTAATACATCCTGTCACAACCTCATTGCATCATAGCTGAATGTGGGTAGCAGACAAACCGATAACTCGAGATCTGGACAGATCTATCTAGACAAAAGTGTCCTATAGATAGCACTAGAGGTGGTGAAGTGAGAAAGGATGTGTTTTCCTCAACCGAGTGAATCGATGCACTTATTTAATCCTAGAGCTTTACAAAACACGTGACAGAGACTCTGCAAAATGCTCGTATACCCACATTCAAATCATTTTCATTCCGAGATGTTACTTGTCTGTTCAGTGTAGACTTCAGGCAGTCATGTCTGCCCCGTGTCCCACAGAGGACAAAGACACTTCTCTCCGCCCTCTAGTATTGATGTCACTAAGGTGAGAGAGTCAATGCTTGGCCAAGGTTAGAACAGTCCCAGAGGTTTTCAGCCTGCTCAGATAGCCTCGTACTCCTCCCTCCCTACTGAAAGAGACCTTTCTTTTGCTCCGTCACCCTGGGATCATTCAGGATTGAATACAAAGTCTAGCAGCCTGGCAAACCGGCGCAGACGGCAGTATGCCCTGAGGCCATGCCGATGCCAGCCTGCCACTTCTCATCCGTTTGGTCTGCTCTGAGGATTCCAAACTGCACATGGGTGAGGGTGGGGGCAGAGGCCATCACTCTCAGTTTGATCAAGTCACTATCATAAAAACGCATTCCCACAACTTGATGGAATACCCAAGCAGTGGTTGTAGACTCCTGACGAGGTTTCATATTCTCACTTCCCCACCACGCCAGTAGAGCCGTCTACATTATCCTGCTTTATTTCTCCACGTGCCCCCTGGGAAGTTTCACGCTCCAGTTTGTGTTTGACTGGTGTTTCTCCTTCTGTAGCTTCAGAGGAAGCCCAGCCTGTGGCCAGCGTCACTCCCTCAGTGCTGAATGTCCAGCAGGGCCAGCGGGCAGAGTTTCGCTGCACTGTGACCGGGAACCCAACCGCTGCCATTGAATGGATTGGTATGACCAGTTAGTCCTCCACTTTTGTAGGGTTTGGTGCAGGCCTTGTCGAGCTACATTTAAAGTCATTTCAGTGGAAAGGCCATTTTCTGTTGTATGAAATTCAGTCCAGGACAAAGTCCCAGATCTTCCCCCTGCAGCCCTCAGTGGCAGAGTGTAACTGTGTGATTATTACAGGGGGTCCGGGGAACAGAATGAGTCCAAGAGCTGTTGTACGAGGTGGCGTACTGACCTTCACAGCAGTGGACCCAGCTGATGAGGGAGAGTACACCTGCAAGGCCCTGAACACTCATGGGGAGCACACAGCACGGGTTTCCCTCTTTGTACAAAGTATGCTTTGTGTTTGTGTGAACGTGTATTACATGTAGCTAGGGATGCTCAGCCAGTTTATTGACTTCATGATTCTTTTCTATTTGTGCTAGTGTAATTTCAATGGGTTTATTACATAAGATAAGCAACAAGTAAATGTTTATTACAAAAGTAATAGATTAGTAAACAACTGAACTAATACAAAATGAACTGATCATTATTCATTTTTTGGTCAGAGTCTAACCCAAGTGGCCTGGGCACCCAGCCCCAAGTCCAAGTCAGTCCCCAAAATATCGAAGCTCATGAAGGAGACAACTTGAGGTTGTACTGCCGAGCAACAGGAGTACCCACCCCGAAGCTCACCTGGCTGAAAAACGGAGGACGAATCCCGCCACAGGTGAGACACCACCTGCTGTCTGAGTGCCTTGATGATGACTTTAACATGGATTGATAACTGTATTTACATTCTGCTGTACTGTATCTCTATCTTGCACTTCAAGGTGTGTCCCGTGCCGATGGTATTTTATCTTACTGTGTCAGTTTGTATGATTGTTTCAGCATTTTGACCATTTACCCTTATTTTTTTCCCTCTGTTTGTCTCTTCCCCTTTTTTTGTTTTGATCCCACCCTGTTCTGACGTTTACTCAGGCCCTTCCCTCTCATGGTTTCCATCAATTTAAAAGCAACAGTCTCGATGTGTTACAGAGACGTATTGAGGAGCTGCAGGTCTGTCCATCTGTCCGCTGTTTGTCCTGTCTCGTAGTTCAAAACCATTGTCCTCTACTGACCCCGTCTTCACACATTGTCCAGTGCAAGTGCATGATGAAATTTGTCCTTGATTCACACCTTGTAGCCCTGTTAATTGACTACAGCTGCTCACTAAGTCCCTTTAGAGCTGATGCCAAATACATTAAAATCAACCAGCTGGGTCTGGTTGATTTGTTAGTGTATTTGCATGCAGTACGTGTTTTTATGTTGTGTTGTATTATTATTAACAAACGTGTTCCATCGTCTTCTTTTGTTTTGTGCTGTCACATCATACCATCCCTGAGTTATTTTGGCTCTCAGCACTCAGTTGACCCTCATCATTCCATTGAGTGTATTAACTAAGTATACAGGAGGTACTGTAGGTATTTCAGACATATTTTGCTCCGTGCCAGACGCATCCCGCTGCCCCCGATACGCAAAGGGGTATTGTGTTGGTCTGGTTTCTGCATAGCCCTCCTCGGCTCGACCGAGGGCTCCGGGGCCTGTTTAGTTCTGCCTCAGAGAGCCTCTGCGTTGTGTCAGCCTTTCCCAGGGGGAGCTGGGCTCTGCCGTGCGACCACGCAGAAATTCTGTATGCTCTAGCAAACGGCTTGCTTTGAAAACTCCTCAATGGGTTCAGACACACATTGAGTCTGGGCCCGCCTCAGCCACTGCTCGGTTTAGCCTGCCTCACGGTTGAATGAGCCGGAGCTAAGCAGCTTTGTCCGTGGATGCCCCAACACCCCCCGGATACAGTAATCCCTCCCCGGACCCTCCCCTCCTGATTCCCCTCCCCTTTGAGGTGTTTCCAAACTTTATGAAAGCTCATTTTCAGCCTTGCTGGACCTCTGATAGCCATGTGGAGGAGTGTACAAACAAGTCAAGTTGTTGATGGCTGTTAAACCAGAAAGTCATGAGAGTTTTTAAAGTGGAGTGTTGTAATTGATGAAGGGTTTTGGTCCTTACTGGATTTTTCGTGGTGGATATTTTCATTTCCAGGGCACTGGCTAGAGACTATTCTCTGATTTCTCAGTTACGAACTGCTTTGTAATGCTTATTGAGAAACCTCTTTCTCAAATCAATGTGTCACAAACTGTCAATTCTAACTCCTAATTTTTAAAATCAGTCGTCAATCATTAATCTTGTTTTAGAAATAAAAATACTAGTGTAGTAAATTGTGTCATCACTGATCACATGTATAAAGGGGAGACACTCCAGGTGAAATAAGACAACTGTTATTTTTTTTTAATATACGTAAGTTTTTGTTTCAATATGCAAATTAGGCTTTATCTAATGCTAACATTTGGTGAATTTAGGAGAAACTACAGATGCAAAAAGTGTTGTAAAATATACCCCTAAATGTGTATGTTGGAAGTTTTCTTTCCTCTCGTTTGAAAGAAGACATGTTATGGCAGCAAAATAGTTTAAAAACAAGGTTTTTGCCTGGGCTGTCTCCCCTTAACAAATGTTAACCCACCCCCCAATCATTGTAGAAATATCGACAGTACTTTGTTTCATGTACAAGGTACAGTGTCATAGAAATCATGAATCAAAAATCCATTTACAGAAACTTAAGTGTAGCAATAACAGCTCTTGTCTTGTCCTAAAGATCTACTTTGTACTGCTTTTGTGTCGCTATTAGCTAGTAATGTCATAATGTCATATTTGTGTTGTTTCAAGCGACATGAGACAAGTAAGTGATTGCTTTGTCTTCAGTATATGACATGACTTGTGTGTCTTTTTATGGTGTAAATAATAGTAAAATCATATTAAATGCAGTGCTGTATATCATGGCAGCCATAAGGCAGATGTAATTGAGATAGGTGTCTAATCTCGTCACGTATCGGTGTGTCTTCTCCAGGCTCGCATGGACCGCACCGACATCGGTACTCTGATCATCCCCAACATCCAGATGTCCGACTCGGGCACATACATGTGTGTTGGTAGCAACAACATTGGCTCAAATAGTGCTCCCATTAAAGTCTCTGTGCTCAAAGGTGAGTTGTCTTGATAGTCAAAGAGAATCAAACCCATAACCCCCCCCCCTCCCCCACACACACACACAGCCTCTGAGAAACACAGTAACACAAACAGTAATTGAATGTAATCATGTCAGTCAACTTTATTTTCAGCAACACTAATTAAGAAGCACATTGAATTTAAAAAAACGGAAAGGTAAACAAAACAAGTAACAGTCAACTTTGTAATAAACAAGAAAGGAGAAACAGTCAGTAGCGTCTGTGTTTGAGCAGGGGACCATAGCCTCTCAGTGGTCAGCATCCAGCCAGCTATAGCTGATGTGCAGGAGGGACAGAATCTGGAGCTCAACTGTTTTGCCCCTGGAAATCCTCCTCCACAAGTCACCTGGACGAAAGCCAGTGGACGACTCTCCTCTAACCACCAGGTAATAACACAAAAATTCAAAAGTGGAAAAATGCATCATTGTGCACCCATTAAATCACATCTTAATATTAATTTTGTATTGGCAATAATGACAATATTATTTTATATAGCATTATTTGCCCTTTCTAGTAGTAGTAGTAGTAGTAGTAGTAGTAGTAGTAGTAGCAGTAGAGGTAGTAGTAGTATTTATTTGTCAGAAGTAAAATTGTGATTTTTCCTGTAAGCTGAAGTGAAGTGACTCCTTCCTTCTCTACTGTGTGCAGGTTCTGGGCAGTCAGCTGCGTATCCTGTCAGCCACTCCAGAGGACTCAGGGGAGTATGTCTGCCGGGTGAACGGCAACCCTGGAAACCCAGGATCTCATGTCCAACAAGCCTCTGTGTCGGTGTCTGTCACTTCATCTTCTTCACGTAAGTTGGTCAACTTCAGGGCTCATAAAGGTGCGATTAAAAACAAAGAGCTCCTTTTTCAAATGTGTCCCGGTGATCTGATTAGACTCGACAGCCATTAAGTTACATTTAATGTTGATTACAGTTGATGGCAGCTTCAGTCAGAGGCTGGGAGAAATACATTAAGGGCAGGGTGTTGTTCTCACACTCACACTGCCTCACTTCATGAAAGTACTTTCCAGTGTGACCCAGTGTGATCTCACATTGAATGATTTTCCTCGCTACCGTCCCATGATCTCATCCTCATTCACTCCTCCCTGGACTTCAGCGATGTTTTGAGTTATTTAACTGCTGCCAATAAACACCATACCCACATTGAATGAGTTATTTGTTGCTTCAGGTTTCTGTGAATTGTAGTCAGCTAAATGAAGTGCAATGATTGTGAACAGTAATGTTTAAAACGCTGGTTTCTGCTGCAGGTCTTCAGAGTCCAATCATCGCCATTGAGCCCCACAGTGCTGCAGTGCGTGTGGGGGAGTCGGCCAGCTTCAGGTGTAAGGTGTACAGCGGAGCCCAGCCTGTCAGACTGGAGTGGAAACTGGCCAACAACCAGCCGCTGCCAGGTATCAACCACACACACACTGAGAAGTAAAGCTGCTTAATTAATGAGATCTGATTTTATTCATTCTTTGCAAGCAATTACAACTACAACCCAACCATGAATGACTTCTCTGTTACTTCATTTAATGACTAATTTAGAACTCTGTTTTTCTCAAATCCATTTTCTGTAGACTTGCATTGACATTTTTGCAGCACTAAAGTTTTGCATGTCATTTAGCCCAGCAAGATTTGATGACATACCAGTGCTTTCTGTAGCTTAGTTTTTCTGACACTTTATACCCCTAATTTTGAATATCTTCAAGGGGTGTCTTACACCCAAGATTAAGAACTACTCAACATGTCCAGGCTACTCCAGCAATATAGTTTTGCTCTTCCATAAAACAAAACTACTGGATCACACCCTTGCCATAGTGCAACTGAATAGAATCTTTCATTAGACCCTCCATGCCTCCTAAATGCCCTCCTCTGTCAAACCTCACACTTCCTGTTAAAATGTGCCCAGGCCGAGACACTAATAACGTCATTAGTCTCTGTCCAGAGCTGCATTAGACATGATACAACTAGTTTTGCTGAGTAGTGTTTACCATGATGAGTAAACTGAATATTCATGTATAAAATCAGTGAACTGCTCAGGCTCAGACCAACTCACGTACCATTTAACTTACATTATCGACAGCAGATCTAATGTTTTGCTACTCTGCTCTACAGATAATATTAAAGCTGGCCCTGATGGTTCTGTTATTACCATTACCAATGCCCGCCCTATGAACCATGGCGCCTACCGCTGTGTGGCGAGCAACCCGTTCGGCATCACCCACACCATTGTGTCTTTGATTGTCAAAGGTAAGCCAGCTTTCAGTCTTCTCACACCCATAAAGCTCTAAGTGAAGGGTTCCCTCTAGTGGCTGATCAGATACGGAGTTATAGTATTTTGTATCTGTGCCCTCAGAGTCTCCTGTGGCCACTGTCACTCCTGTTGGACCTATAAGTGTCAGGGTGGGTGAACCCATTAACCTGGAATGCCAGGCATCCGGAGAGCCCCGCCCTTCAGTCTCATGGCACAGGCTGGACAGCAACCGCAAGACCATGCTGAGCAGCCCCGTGCCCATGGAGTCCAATGCAGTCATGCAGGTGATACATCCGACAAAGAAGATCTGTAGAACAGTTTGTTATCCAACACTTCTGTGTTGATATCTGAAGTAACTATGAGGAACCTTTAACTGTTTATGAAGCAGTCTCAATATAAAATCAACACAAAAGGAAAATTCCTCGTAGTAGCTTTAAAGCTTCAAATCTTCAACTTGATGTTTGGTATCAGCTTTTACATTCTGAAACTGTGAATTTTTGTATGGTGAGATATATATATATTTTTTTGCTCGTGCAGATACTAGTGGCACGTGCAGAAGACAGTGGCACTTATGTTTGCACAGCTCGCAACAACGAAGGCACCACTGAGACCAAGGTGGAGGTCATTATTGAGGGAGGCTCTCAAGTGCCCACAGTGCCCAGGGCTTCTGTTCCTGAGCCGCTGATGGTTGTGGTGGAAGGGCAGACGGCAACGCTGCGCTGTGAGGCCCACGGTAATGATGGCTGACGAATGTCATTTATACAGCTGGAATTCACTTTCATCTTACACTTTGCATTTTTCTCTTGTCTTTCTGTGGCACTTTTTATGTTGCATCACCAATACAAAAGATGTCTAAAACACAAAACACCTGTCTTAACTTTTTTTACTGTCGTAATACCGTAAGAATAAAATATTGTCATTCTTCACTAATTTAGCCGAGCATCGAACTTTTTGCTCTTAAATTTGCTTTTCTAGGTTTGCCGTCCCCGACGATCACCTGGTCCAAGCTGCGGTCTCCTCTGCCTTATAGACACAAGGTGGTGGACAACAGCCTGGTGCTGCCCACTGTGGGCCGCCAAGACTCTGGAGAATACATCTGCACTGCAACCAACAACATGGGCACCACTGAAGTCACCGTCATGCTAGATGTAGAGTGTGAGTGCTGTGGTTTTGTTGTTTGCTGTCATTTTATTTGAATTTATAAATTTTGTTGCATGTACAGTGAGTATACAATGTCTCATTTTGTAATGTATATTTTTTGAGCAAACCTTTTTTCTCTCCAGCCCCTCCTTATGCCACTTCTGTGCCTGACGATGTGGCTGTGCGGGTCGGGGAGGTGATCAGGTTGCAGTGCCTTGCGCATGGCACTCCTCCCCTGACCTACACTTGGACCAAGCTGGATGGAAACCTGCCCCCGAGGGCCCAGGTTAGCGGAGGGGATCTTCAGATCGACCTGGCTACCGCTGAGGATGCTGGGAGCTATAAGTGCGTGGCCAGTAACAAAGTAGCCAACAGCGAAGTCATCGCTAAAGTCACAGTCAGATGTAAGTTTACTGATAATATAATGATTTGACATGTTGTAGATAATAAGTCACTTAAAGACTGGTGTGCACCACACATGAAAAAAAATACGTCTACTCTCCGACAAGAACTAAATCTCTTTCCTTCCCATCTGCAGCCCCCTTGGCAGTGCGCGTGTCACCCCAGGTTGAAGTAAAGGCCCAAGGCAGTGCTGTGGAGTTCACCTGTTCGTCAGCAGGCGGCATAGAGACCAGAATTGAATGGCTGAAGGAAGGAGGAGCCCTGCCACCGAACCACCACGTCAAGGACGGGGTGCTCAGGTGACATATACACTCGTATTGCTGTTTGTTTGTTGAAACCAGCTCTGAATGTATCAAAATGTATGATGTTGAAGGACCAATCTGCCAGTTTTGCATGTTTCCCCCATTAAGAACCAGAAGTTGAGCACAATTTATACATAGTATGTACATAAAGGATAAGACTTCCTCAGCGTCTCTGTGGATCTCAGCACCGAGTCTGTTGGTTCCTTCTGAAGATGTAAATCTTCTATAAAAATAAAAAGAAGTCACAAACATATAGTTTCATTTTTTTAAAGGCTAAATTATTTGCTAAAACAGCTGGGCACTGTAGTTTTTATCAAACATTACTCATACAGGAGTAAATTGTGCATTTTTGGGGACTATTTTTAGCAATGTATTGGTGCTCTAGCAAGTATTTAAACCAGCGGGAACGTGTATGTGGGATTGACTCAAAATATACTACACTGACAAATACTCATCTCAATAAAGGAATATTTACCAATTTAAAATGTTGGACAACAATATTGTCTGAAGAATAAGCTATATCAGGGTTTGGTCTTTTCTTGGGAATTATTGACAATAAGAATAAAATAGAATATCACCAGGCTTATCCTTAAATGGGCTAAACATTCAAATCCTTACTGTTTTTAAGGACAAGGTACCTTAGATATTGTGTAATATGTGAATGTGTGTGATTGAATGTCTCTCTGTAGGATTGAGAACCTTGAGCAGAGCAACGAAGGCGTTTATATCTGCAGAGCCAGCAGTGTGTATGGTCAGGCCCAGGACACTGCCAGGTTGACCATCCAAGGTCTGTTACATTCACTGCAGATATACTAGTGTACACCCTGCTTCATCAAAGCCAAATATAACCTGTTGCTTTTTCTTTCCTTTTCCACAGCCCTGCCAAAGGTGATGATCAACGTGCGCACCTCGGTCCAGACTGTGATGATAGGGAACTCTGTGGAGTTTGAGTGCCAGGCTGTTGGCGACCCAGAGCCCACGGTTAAGTGGAGTAAAGTCGGTGGGTCTCTGCCTGCTCACATCATGGTGAAGGGCGGCATGCTGAGGATCGACAAGGTGACGGAGGCCGACGCCGGGCAGTACCGCTGTACGGCCACCAACGACGTGGGCTCGGTCCAGTCACAGGTGGTCCTTAACGTCCAGTGTGAGTGCACAAGAGAAGAAAATAGACTTAAACACATTCTTTTTTTACTTCCATTATACACATAAATCCATGCACTTGCACATACACACACTGATGCATTATGCTGGCACCACTCATTGAAACCCTTTGCCTGTTTGCACAGCTCTTCCTCAAATTGCTGCGCTGCCTGGAACCAAGGAGGTCACAGTTGGGTCTGATGCGGTCTTGCCCTGTGTGGCTTCAGGATACCCTGTACCTGAGATCAAGTGGTCCAAGGTAACCAAGATACTTCTTTAATTCAGTCAGCTTTTTTTTTTGTTGTTGATGCTAATATTATTGATAATGCTGATTGTGTCTCTGTGTCTGTTTCTGTTCCTAGGTGGAAGAAGAGCTTCCTCCTAAGTGTTTCCAGGAGCTCAACACGCTGACGGTTCCTCGCGTCTCCCATGAGGATTCTGGGATATACGTCTGCACCGCCTCTAACAAACAGGGGAAAGTGGAAGCCTTTACTACACTTCAAGTTCACGGTTAGTCTGCGGTGTAGAGAGTACCGGAGGAAGGAATGTCAATAAATAAATGAAAAGAAATGTTTTGAGTATGAACTGCACTGTTTTCTGTATCTAAAAAGAGATGATGTGCTTATTTGTTGTAGAGAGAGTGATGCCATACTTTGCCCAGGAACCCTTGTCCTACCTCACCCTGCCCACCATCAAAAATGCCTACAAGGCTTTCAGCATTAAGATCAACTTCAGACCTGATAATGGTGATGGTAAGGAAGTGCAACTTTAAATTTGCTTCACAGTTCAATTGAATAGTTTATCAATTTAGCCTTTTCTCTCGTTGTATCTTGCAGCGTGGTAATGATTTCTGCTTTTTGTACTGTGTCGTGTACTATGTTTGTCATATTTCCTCATGTATAATTTCACTGCGTCTTTTGTCCCTCCCCTCTCGCCCTCACCTCTCCCCCTCACCAACGTGGTGGGCAGGTCTCATATTGTACGCTGGTGAGTCTCAGTGCTTGAGAACCACAGGAACTACAGACTGATGTTGGCAGCTCTGCTCTTTTTTTGGCTCCATCCTTCTCTCACAATATGCATCCAGCTCAGAGCTGATTTAAGGGCTGTGAAAAGAGATGGAAGAAGATGGTGCATGTTTTCATTTTGGCTTTCGTAAAACCTTTTCATAAAACCACATCGGCTTCATAATAGCTTGGTTACAAATCTACTTTTACATCCCAGTCAACAGCTTCTACACTGCCTACACAGCAGCACTGCTGCTTACAAACACAGTTCTTGTATGCTAGAATTGTTAAATGCAACGCTACGCACACATTTCTGTAGGTGTTCTTTTATTTAAACATTTCTGCAGTTGTGAGAGCCACAGTAAGTCAAATTGCCTTTGCAAAAAATAATATGGCTTCTGTTATCCTAGCCCCAGTTGGTGTGGGTGTGTGGGGACAGGACAGCAAAATGAATGAACACTACATTAAAATGTTTGAAAAATTAAAGGAAAATATGCAGCTGTTATTCTTTAGATTGAACTTTGGATTTTTGCTGTCTCACCACATCCCACCCGCACAGCAACACACGGCCACGAATTTATTGCAGAAGCTATTTGAACGCGCATGGCTCCTTAAATGTATAAATGTGTGATACAAACATCAGAATATTAATGTATGTATGAACATACTTCAACTTTGTGTGTTGCACATTCATGCATTCATGTCTTGATCGCTCATTTTCACAACCTTCAGAGATGACATAGATGGATGTGTGAGAGGGCATGTTCCCACTTCCCTGTGAGCCTCTGTGGCTCATATGAAGCATGTGTTCCCAGCATGTGCACACAGAAAAAGGAGAACAAGCAGTAAAGTGTGACTGGTTGCACTTGGCAGCCCAGTGATGCCCAGATAAGATGACATGTTATATAACCTGGCTTTGGTTGGCTTTGAACTTGCCCCACCATAGCATGCTGCTTTACCGTCCAGCTCTCAAAGAATTTCCCTTGTGTATGAATCACTCCGTTGCAAACGTTGTCCATCCTAAGAAGTCACTTACTCTCATGTTTAGCCTAAAGTTTTGGTTTTCCTGAGTGAAAAAATTCTACCTGTGGGCTGAGATGGTGAATATTAAAGAAATAATTATCTTGAGACAAAGCTGACACACGGAAATTGTTCTACCTTTGACTCAGGAAAATTCCACTTGTTTAAATAAAACTACTAGATTTATTGACTTATTTCGATGCATGTTATTGTAGGGGACGCATTTAGGATTAAGTTTGTAATAATTCTCACTCACCCTGTTTTTGTGGTGCAGGTATGATCCTCTACAATGGCCAGAGGAGGACCACAGGAGCAGACTTTATCTCTCTGGGACTTGTGGGCGGCCGCCTAGAGTTCAGGTCAGTTTATATAATGATCTTAAAAGTTCTACTTATTGACAGAAAGACAGCATGATGACCTTGTTGATAATGATTCTGATGCTGTCTTAGGTTTGACGTGGGCTCAGGCATGGCCGCCATACGCGACCCCAACCCTGTCAAACTGGGAGAGTTTCACACAGTTGAGCTGTATCGCAACCTCACTTTGGGCTATATCATAGTAGACGGAGGGGAGCCCATCAACGGCAGCTCACAGGTACTTCTGTCAATGTTAATGTAGCTCCCACTTTCACATATGTGGATTTGATTTATTCACGTAAATTCATATGTTTCATAAATGCACATTTTCTGTCCTCAGGGCAAGTTCCAGGGCCTGGATCTGAATGAGGAGGTGCATGTGGGTGGTTATCCCAACTACACAGTCCTCACCAAAACAGCCGGAATTAAGACTGGTTTTGTCGGTAAGACGTCACTCTGTTTACACCATGAAAGGAAACATAGGATGGAGGAAAAAGTCCTCTTGGCGTGAAGACTTGTCCTTATATAATGTTGCTACTCTGCAGGCTGTATCCGTCAGCTGGTCATCCAGGGTGAGGAGGTCATTTTCAAAGACCTGGACCGCAGCTCTACTGGCGTCACAAACTGCCCCACGTGCAAAGACCACCCATGCCAGGTCCGTTACATCCATCCACTTGATGTATTTGTAGCATTTGGTCTGTGTTTAATTCCATAGCGTCCAGTTTATTTCTTCCAATGTCATTATTCAGAATGGAGGGATGTGTGATGACTCAGAAGCCAGCTTGTACAAGTGTGGCTGCCCCAGAGGATTCACAGGCAGCAACTGCCAGCACCACTCATCCCTGCACTGTCACTCAGGTACATGAGAATCTCCACCTGACCACAAAGATAAATCAAAATACCTGGATGTTTCTATCAACTCTATCCGTGTGCACCAACGTAAAAATAAAGTGTTTTATGTCTCTGTGACTTAAATTCCCACAGAGGCCTGCGGACCAGACGCCACTTGCATCAACCGCCAAAATGGCCTGGGCTACGACTGCCGCTGCCATCTTGGCAAGTTTGGAAACAAATGCATGGATGGTAAGACAGGAAGTTACTCTCATCTACAAAAAAGTATTCCGAGTATTTTAGCGAGTTATGCAATATTGGTATTGATGTTTTTCCTACAAGAAATTCTCGTTTTTAATGCCTTTTCCTACTTGTTTACTTTCACTAGGGGAATTGGTGACCACTCCACTGTTTGATGGCGAGGAGTCATACATTGCTTATCCTCCCCTGACCAACATCCATGATGACCTGCGTGTTGAGCTGGAGTTCAAGCCCCTGGAAAGAGATGGCCTGATGTTCTTCTGTGGAGGGAAGAAAATGAAGGTGGAGGACTTTGTGGCCATCTCCATGGTGGAGGGACATGTAGAGTTCAGATATGAACTGGGCACAGGTAAAGAATCAATACAAATCTTTAGTAGTTTCATAAAGGTATTGATTTATTTGTCCTTAGAATAATATCCTGTGTGCTTTTGTAAATTAACATTATGAAGATTTTTAGCACAGGTTGAGTTAGAGAGACTCAAATTTAGACACAAAGAATTTTAAGGAAGGTAGCAACATTCAAGATGTCTCTGTGCCTATTTTGATTTTCAGGCCAAGCAATCCTTCTAAGTTCAGAGCCGGTCTCTCTGGGGCAGTGGCACCGAGTTGTAGCCGAGCGAAACAAGAGGGCCGGCCACCTGAAGGTCGATCAAGGCCCACTGGAGAAAAAAACGTCTCCAGGAAAAGCCCAGGGCCTCAATATCCACACCCCCATGTACCTGGGAGGAGTCCCCAACATGGACATCCTGCCCAAGCCTGCCAATGTCAGCGAACTGTTTGAGGGATGTATAGGAGAGGTGAGAGATCTCTCTGTGCTAAAAAAGAAAAGAAAATGTAATTAATATTGTTCTGTATTTGGTTTCTTAAACTTGTCTGTGCTGCGTGCTTAGGTTTCCATCAACAACAAGAAGGTGGATCTGTCCTACAGCTTCACAGAAAGCAGATCTATCCGCAAGTGTGTGGACAACAGCCCCTGTGACCGCCGGCCCTGCCTGAATGGTGGTCACTGCATGTCAAATGTTGAATATGAGTACCAGTGCCTCTGTAAGGATGGATTTGAAGGTTAGTGTTCACACTCAAGAGTCTTCTTAACACTGGAAAAGTCAAAGCATGCATCAAATCTGCCCAGTATTCCTGCACTACATCTGTGTTTTCAGCCTATTTTCTACTTCATTATCTATAAGTGGAAGATTTTCAGAGCCGTATTTTGTCAAAGGCCACCTCCTCCTAAAACAATGAGCATTTTCCATGTATTATCTCCAGACACTATGAACTCGCCCTGCCTTTGATGTAAACTTGACCCCCGACCTTTCACTCCTGACCCATAACTGGTATGTGACCCCGCAGGTGAGCGTTGTGAGGTCGTGAAAGACGCGTGCCAGAGCAACCGTGAATGCCAAAATGGCGGCAGCTGTGTCGGCGGCCAGTGTGTGTGTGCACCTGGCCGCACAGGTCTAAACTGTGAAGAAAGTAAGTATGGACTAGCTACACAACCATGTATACCAAATATTATACCTAAATCAAAGCCAGAAATAGCAGAACGTGTGGGGGACCATGGTTGCATTTTATTGTTAATTTATAATTATGCAATTTCAGTAGCAGATTCTAAAAGGAGTTCTGGAAAGCAAAACTCCAAATCTCCAAAGCTATCGCATTACTACATACACCGGCATCCTATGGAGAAAGATATTCATCATCAAAGCAGAAAGACTAGACCCACAGCCAGAAATGAGCACACATGGCTCACATTCTCCACAGTATAAAGCCCTTCTAACATCAGACAGCTCACCCCCAGCATTGCACTGCATGCTGGGAGGGTTAACCCTAAGTAATCACGTATGTTTTACCCCTGCACTCTCATAGCTATATATCCTGCACACACAGGCCAGGTCTCCAGCTTCCCCGAGGCCCTGAGGAATTTGGAAAGTAGCGAGGCAAATGGTACAGTATCTCAATATTCAGTCTGCCTGACACGACTGTGACTAACAGGGGCCCATCTGAGCTTGAGGGGCCCGCATCCCCCTCCAAGCTCAACCCAAACTGTCTATTGCCTAACACATGTTCGCGCATACCAAACATGCGTCTGTACTCAACTGAGGCTCTTATCCCGTTTGTGAAGTTGGGAGAGGGGAATTCTGCATCTGTAATGAAAGGTAACAGGATGGTAGACTGTTGTTGGGAGATCAACTGAATCGTGCTGCCTGTTTTTAGACCCAGATGGAAATGTGGAATTCCCCTTGTTTTTCTTTTTCCCTATCGTCATGTCAATGCCTGTAAGATGGCTACTCATAACATTGAGTCTTGTCTCCGTCTACCTCAAGAATGCCTGTCTATACAATAATAAAATAAACAAAAATACTTGTTTTTCTTTCTAAAACCATCTCAGTCTGAATATTAAATATGTTCCACACATTTATTCTGTTACTAACAACTGAAACTTGTCTGTTGAAAGCACAGTGTGATGGTGGTTGGGGTGAGATGAGATGCATTTGGAATATATGTATTGGTGCATGGACCCGTGGTCAGTTCAGTTTGATCTCTGTGGAAGCTCAGAAATGGTGCAGCGTGTGAGGAATGGTAAACAAATCGCTCCCGTGTTGGTGAGGACTGTCATCGGTTTGCATCATGGAGCCTGGTTTGGTCATGCTGAAGAGTTTTGTTATTTTTGTTTTTGAAATTGCAGTATTTGGATATGAATTTGGGGCACATAAAGTGTGACTATGTAGCTTTTGAGAGAAGAAATAACATCATCTTCCTCTTGAAAAGTTGTAAGCAATAAAACACAAACTTAATTTCTCATTTCTATACACTCTGAGGTTTTGCTGCTACAGACTTGGTGTGTGATCTGGTGTGTGCTTAGGGTGGCTAATTTAGTTGTATCACTGAATTTAAACAAAAAGTAAACATACTGTGTTTATTGAAATGATCTCTGACATGCTAAAACCTATTGTGACCGTAAGCAAAGAAGAGTAGTAAAGTCATCAGCCACCAAGCTACTAGTCATAAAAGACCAAGTTTTATTGCTTATGAATTCAACTTTTCTTTGATAAGAGATACAACGTGTTCTATAGTTTCACTTTCGTCACCACTAACAAATAAAATACATTTCTAAGTGATTTCAGAATACCTCTTCTTTATCTGTAACTGTTGTACGTATCCAAGCCTTTGGGTTTCTTCCATGCTTTCGCCACTGGAGGGCACTATAGCAGTGAGAATGAAAGTCCACAGCAGCTATTATTATTATTTGAATAGCATTGTGATGTATATGTACTGTATTTTTTTCTAGATTCACCCTATCAGTATGCGGCTCATTTCCACGATGATGGATACATTGCCCTTCCTAAATCTGTTTTCCCAAGAAGGTAACTATAGTTTGCTTTTCTACACTGTTATAACACTTATAGCACATTGTTTCTGCATGGAGTACCTGAGATTTATTCTTTAAATGTTGCATAAGAAAATACCAGTCATGCATAATTCTAGAATCTAAATATTCCCAATGTAATCATTAACTGCCCTAAACTGTCAACAGCCTCAACAAACACATTTTTTTTCTACCAAAATGTTTTGGCTGGTTAGGAGGTCTTGCCTAAAACAATATTTCAAAGGGGATACATTATTTTAAAAAATTAGACCAAATTTTAAACCGATAGACTGTATATAAGAAGGTCAAACCAGATGTATTATTAGGAGTTGATGAAAAAAAAATATATTTTTTTTTTCTGTTTTAGCGCCCATGACTCGCCAGAGACAATCGAACTGGAGATCAACACAAGCTCCTCTGAGGGCCTGATCTTGTGGCAGGGAGTGGTGAGTCCTGGTTACTAATAGTACTGAGCTATGGTTTAATCCAAATCTTAAAATGGATACTTACACCTTCCCTTCCACATTGTCATCCTCACCCTAACATGGCTACTGCACTTAAGCACTCTTAATCGTCACCATTACTTCATCTTTAAAGACGTGATGCTCATTAATGTTCTCATAGCATTCAGAGATTTATTTTCATTTTTTTTTACGTAGGCCTCAACAATAATACATATCTTACACAATACTGCATTCTCTTTCATTTCAGTGTTCACTGTTTAATTCATACTTGTCCCACTGAGGCTGTGACATCGTTGGGCATGTTGGCTGCGAGCCAAGCTCTATCTCACACCACTAAATAAATGCATGTTGCTTCTCTAACTCACCCTCCATTTTCCTCAGGAGACCAATGGCGCACGCAATTTGCGAAAGGTGCATGCTAGTAAAAAGGTATCCACTCAAACACAAGACACTCTATATTTATTTTGCATGTTTCATAACATGTGCTTTACATTCAAATGTGTATAACAGTTTTGAGATACTACTGGAGCATCCCATCATTTGAAGTGAGAAAGTGTTTGTTTTGCACAATGTGCAAGATGTTTTCTATTGTCGCTGTTATTTTGCACGGAGGGTTTCATGTCACACTTCTACAAATACAGTCGGGAGCAATCTGTCTGCTCCGCCTCATGTTTGCTATTATAACAGTTGGTGCGGAAAATTACTGCAGCTGTTCAGTGATTCACAGTATTCAATCCTACAGCATTCTCTCCCTCTGCTCACAAAACACATTTATTTCCAGGAACTTGGAGAACATGGCAAAGGCAAGGACTTCATCAGCCTCGGTCTGCAGAATGGACACCTTGTTTTCAGGTGACTCAGCCCTGTAACCCTGTAGTTCTGTTGACACCTTGATGAGTTTTATCAGTATCAGCGCTTATTAATGTACTAATGCTGATGATATGGTATCCAGTTACCAGTTGGGCAGCGGAGAGGCAGCGATCTTGTCCCGGAGGACCATCAATGATGGGAGATGGCATAAGGTCACAGCAGTCAGGTAAGTTTGCATATATACTGTATATGATATATTATACCAGCTATTATCAATATATTAACTGCTTCTGCAATTTTCTGATTTGTCTGTTTATGACCAGTGCTTGTATTGAGACGTGTTTGTCGCCTCATGTTTCTCCTTTTCTTGCAGAACTGGAAAAGATGGATACATCCAGATTGATGGAGGAGCCGCGCTACATGGACAGTCTAAAGGCAGAAGCCTTATGGTCAACACCAAAGGCAGTATATACCTTGGTGAGTGAATTAAAAGCACGGAGGCCCAAAACTGACTACTTAATGTGATGAACGGTTTATCTGATTGAACTGTGACAATGTGTTTGAATCTCAAAGTTGATATTAATTAGTTAACATTCAGGCATCTTTCTCCCTTTTCGCTCTCGATTTTAAACCCCGATGTTGGGCTCGATGACTGTCAGCCATCGTTCATCAGCCCAACCCTAATTCAAATGGAGCGTGAAAAGATATAAAGCTTGATACTATTCCCAAGAATACCTTCGTAAACAAACAAAAAAAACCTGTGTGGCTAGCTTATTCAACTGAAAACACTGGTGTCTAAATACAGTAAGCACCAGGCTGTTCAGCGAGCTACCTGGCTAAAGCTAGCTTTCTTCATAAAACTACTGCTGCACACATGCTGTAGAATTACTCTGGAACTCTTGTAACACATTTTAGCCTGCAAGCTAAGGCTAACAAAGTTAGCTAGCTAACACTACTTTGGAAGGTCACAGTCACATACGCCATTTTCTATTTTTATAACATTATCTTCATCTTCAAGTTCACGTCTTTTGTCTTCATCAACAACCAAGATGGAAATACGTGCTATAGTGAGATTAGCTTCCAGTGTTTTGGTTAAGCTAGCTATCCACACAATGAAACTATCTACCCTCTTGATTGCTCTGCTAATGTTAAACATTTTTATCATATGCTCTATTTTGTCAGTTTTGGGGCTCCATATAAAAGAGTTCCTCACTGCAGAAATTGAAAATGTAATCTTATTACATTTTTTTTTTCTAGTTCTTCCAAATTTATGAAGATCAGAGATCAAAATATCCTCAAAACTGCTGTGTGGGTCCAAATGTCTATGGAGGAACTTCCTCACTTATTGCTAACTTTTTGTGTGTTCTCATGTTGATGACAGGCGGAGCTCCAGACATGGCTGCGATGACGGGAAGGAAGTTTTTGTCTGGAATGACGGGCTGCGTGAGGAACCTGGCACTGATGAACGCCCTGCCGGGACAGCAGCCTGCCCAGGCCATCGACCTGCAAACCCACGCAGCCCATGGCATCAACGTGCTGCAGTGCTCTTCATAGATCGCAGCACACACGGAAACACACACACCCACCAACACACACACACACACACACACACACAGAGACTATGGAGTGATGTCATACACACACATCAGACTCACACAGAGAGACTTGGTGCTTCGCTGCTACCAAAAAAATGCCAAGACGACACAACAAGATATGTTTCTCTGTGTGCAGTAAAACCAAAAAAGAGAGAAAAAAATGAAACGATATTAACAAGTCTTCTCTTCCTCAGTGTTGTATTCTCAATGAAGGACTATTAACACAGGAGAACCAGTACAGTTTACATACTTCCAGCAGTAGTTTTAGCCATGAAAAGAGTAAGAGTAAAACATATTAGGCCTTCTACGATGGGTCAGATCCTATGGAGATGGAGATTGTTTTTACAGCACTGAATTTTTATTTATATACATATGAATATATATATATTATATTTGTGGGGGGGAAAACATGCAAACTAACCATAACTGCTCTTCAACTTTCCTAGAGTTTATTCTGGGTTCTAATACTGTGTGTCCAGGGCTTTTTATAGGCCTAACTGTATTAATACTTGAAGATGTTTAGGCCTTCTTTCTTCACTTCTGTAGAGGAACTTTTTTTTTTTTTTTTTTTTTTTTGCGCACGCGAGCATGCAGTTACAGTCTTTTACAAATTGTTGCAAGATGAGCGCACATGGTCACATGCAGCTTCAGTACACAACTCAGGTCGTCCAATACAAATTAATAACCGCAAATGTTACATACTTCTGCTTTCACTCAGCTGATTTATTTTCCTCTTTGCAAGTCATTCACAGAGCTGTTGTGTCTTCTGTGTCTGCATTTATTCTTTTTCATGACAGAGAAAGAAACCGTGGTGCTACTGTCAGACATAAAGATACAGCACATAGTCAAATGGTTGCCTGTCTGTCACATGTACAGTCGAGCACTGTGGTTACTTGGGTTAAGAAATTCTACATCCAACAGTATACATTAGTGTCACATTTGTTGATATGCATGGCATTCAAAGTTGCTTTTATAAGAATATGCCATGATTTGTTGCCTCCACAGCCATATTTGATTGAGTAGATCTCAAAGCAGTTTTAAAGAGCTGAAAATAGGGTCATTTTTTTATGTGTGATTGTTGAAGATGTTGTTTTATGTGTAAGACTATCTGCCAGACAGGTAGATCTCACTAGAGAATGAGTGTGAATGCTAGGACTTTTGTTGGTTATGTATGCCTCAGCCCCTTCCATTTCTCACAGGTCACTCTACTTTAAGCCACAGTATGGAGTCAAGTATGTGTGTGTGTGTGTGTGTGTGTGTGTGTGTGCGCGCGCCTGTGTCATTATCCATATCCTCAGAAGGGTCAACCCAGAACTGCCTCAATATGTCACTTATTTTTCGGGTTAGGTAGCTTTAGCGACAATGCAGTAAGCTACAAAACTCTTGACGGCTCTGTGGTTTTCTCTGCAGAAGGAGATTCATCTGCAGCAAACAGCAGTAGGACACAGTTGGGATAGTGTTTGATGGTGTGTGTGTGGGAATGCAGTGGAAGCCTCCTGCAGGTGCTGTGACCAGTAGTGTAGCTCAGATAGAGCATGCTCGCCCCCCCCCCTTTAGTTTCAACCACACCACAATACCACAACGGCACCATCGCTTCGGGGTTTCACAAAACTTTTTTCTCATTTTGTAAGCTCAAAATATTTGTATTAATATCCTTTAAACAATTAAAATGAGCACTATCCTTTCTCTTAGAGTTGACTCATTTTTATTTATTTATTTTATGTTTTGTTTTTTTTTCTTCTCTTTTTCATCGCTTTTGGTTCAAGGCTTGATTCTGCTGTTTTTAGAGTAATCACATCTTGCTATTTCCTTTACTCTGGTTATTGTGTATTGCCTCCCACATCCCCTTGTTTTCCCCCTCATGTTTGAGTTTGAATACGGCCCCCCGGGAAGTTCTTCACAAATCCTCAATGAAGTTTCATGAAAGGTTAATATATAAAACCTTGAACTGCCTGCTCAAAAGGTTGGAAACAGGTCTTATTATTATTACTCAAATAAAAAAAAGTCTTAGCCTCCAAATGCAACAAATGGATTATTCATCTGCGCTGGAAATTGTCATCATGTTTGTTCAGATATGAACATGTGGATTGAATAGAGCCACGGTTGTGGTCCAGATTTAGGACACTGAAGCAGAGACTGATGGTGTGTGTGTGCCCCTTGTTGGGTGCCTTTTGTGTATCTGCTCTTAAACTGGATTTTCATATATATACACTGTACACTCTTGCCCAATGCAAAGTTGTCAAGAAACTTCCACTGCTTTTCGGTTGTTTTTTAAGCCTTTGCAAAATATGAACGGTGCACTTATAGTAATGATGGACATTTTTATTTTAAAATTTGTTTCACTTCTGAATGCCACGAAAAGAGGATAACTTGAATGAAAGTGTACCAGATGAAATATTGTCAATGTCAGGACGACCTGACTGCTCCATTTCCAATGTTTAAAAGACGCTCCCCTTGCCTTTGGTGTTTCTTAATTAAAAACAAAATTCATGTGCTATTTTTAATGTCGTGAGTTTTCTTTTTTGCGGGTCTTAATGGCTGTGTTGTCTGGTTTCTTTACATGGAGCACTTTTGCTTCAAATCGCTTTATTGTTCCCAAATAATCCATTGTACAGGTAACCGTTAAGGTTAGCCTTTCCCTGAGGAGAGGCCAATGACACCGCCCATTGAGAGAGTTGAGATCCAATGTTCCCGAGCAGAGGTTACACCCAAATCAGGTTTCTAACATAAACTTGTCCCCTGGGTACAGTACTCTCATTTTACAAAGTCTACTGCATTTATTTGTGAAATTGCATAAAGCGTCATGTAAAGTGGATGTGCTGGCAAAAGTTGGATAAAGAAAACACAACAAGGTAAAGTAGGTTGTTGATGCTGTTGGAGTACAATGTCGTAACAGTAATGAACTTTGTGAATATTCTGGATACAATCCTCTACATAAACGTGAGAATCCTTTGCCAGTCTGTGAGGATGACGAGACAGAGGTGGGTTTGGGGTGGCTCATCTTTCACACTCACGTTATGGTGGTTATGTAAGAGAATGTTACTTCAGTAAGACTCCATTTTCTATCCTAAATTATATTTGACACGGGGCCTCACAGATCTGACGTCCTTTAAAACCTGTATTTGTTTTGGTAAGACTCGTATCTTAAATGTATCATTGAGCCAAAAATAAATCCTCCCTCTCCTCGGTTGTCACAACTCCTTCCAGCTCCTCATATTCGTTCTGTTGTCTGCTGTTTTTCCTGCCTCCCTCCTGCCCTGCAGTCACCCGTTATCCCACAATTTCCATCAGCTAAAGCTTTCCTCTTTTCCTAATCAACCTGGCAGCATACTATATACCAGCCCATCTTCCCTTATTCTCTGCCAGATTGTGCTTTCCAGCATTTGTTCTGCCTGTCTGATTCTTGGATTGGTGATTTGCTGCCTCTCCCCTTCTCTAATAAGTTATCCTGGTCAATCTGCTCGCCTAGTTTTGACTCTCGCTATAGTTTTTTTGACTACAGTAAACATGAACTTTGATCTAAACTTGCCTCTCTTCTGGCTTTAAGCTTGTCTGTTTTCTGAGCCATTACAAAGGTTTACAAATTAAGTCCGAGTTATATTGTTTTTGAGCCGATTTATATTTCTTCAGAAAGGTTTGTGCAAATTCCTGTGAGATGGTACATCACAGGCACATGAATTTTTCACCAAAGATTGGAAGTTGTGTGCAAATGCCGTTCAACAAATATGACTCCACAGCCTGATCCAGGCGCTATAATTAAAGGCCAGCTTTGAAAAGTCCTTCGCTATAAGTCTGATTTAAATTAAACTTGGTACTCTATTTACTCTACAAATTTGCCTCAAGAACCACTAAAGTCCACCGGACTAGATATTTCCCCTGTTGTGGTAATTTATCAGTATGTTCTTATGTAACTTGCATCGCTTAGCTTAACCTATATAATCAAATCAAATATAACCTTTATAAGACAAATATAATCTATGTCTGACTTGCGTTTGTCTCAGCCTAATTTTACCCCAACATCCTTTGCGTAAAAGCAGAGACACCATCACCAGCCACGACCTGGCACCCGGTCATGACATCTTGGCCTCTTCTGAAAAGAATAAGTACGCCCCCGGGAGGAGGAAATGAGATAACGTGCAGCAGGAATGGCAGTTCAGCTTGTGTGAAGCATGTGTGCTCTGCAAAAACTCTGACCTCCGAACCATCCGTGGGGAAAGAGCTCTCGAGTGTCTGTCCAATAAAATACTTAAAGACATTTGAGAGTTCCTCGTCACGTTTATTTCTCACAGGACTAATTTCCACCTCACCCTCATTTTGATTTTTTTTCAGAACACATTTTTTTTGTTCATGGTGTTTGGAAGATATTGTCAGTTGTCAGTTTTAAGCCCATTAGTGGCATTGAGGAAACTTGTACATGACGCACTGAACCAGGATCACCTCGCTGACATTCAAAAGCTTAATTACAAGTACTAACTGTAAAGTCTCTAGTGTCTGGGACGCTGTGTCCTTCCAACAGTGATGCTAAAATTAATTCACCGCAGAAATAAGATCCCATCAGATTGCCACCAACATTTAGGACATAATTGAAAATAAACACAATTCCAACATAATACTGACACAGCACTTGAATCATTCTTTCTTCTTTAAGAAATTCAGTAAGCAGCCTAATATTATATTTCCGTCACAGTGAAGCCTTGTGGTCATTTTCCTGTCAGGAATCCATCACTTTCTAGGCTATGGGTGTGTTGTGTAACAGTGTCACGCAGATAGCAGTTATTCTACACTAATCCTGGTTACTTATCCTTTTCTTTCAGTGACATTTAACAGCAGGGCCTTGGGCCTTGCCGGCCTGGCCGACACCTCAATTGTTATCTGCAGTAACTCAATAGTCAAATTCAACTGGTGAGCTCTCGTCCTCACTATGCAGGTGCTGCCCAAAGGAAGACTCCAATGAGTGACAGTGAGACTAGGGTTGTAGTGGTATACCGGTATCACGGAATATACCTCGGTTACTAAAATTGACAGGTATCATACTTTGTGTTTTGCCTATCTACAGTATTGAAAAAACAGACATAAGTGTGTGTGTGTGTGTGTGTGTGTGTGTGTGTGTGTGTGAGAGAGTTAAAGGTACAGATGAGCAGTCTGCCTGCACTGTTGTGCACCTACAGTATATGTTCATTGGTAGTAATTGACCATGCTATAGTGCTGCTAACATCTACACTAAGCTTCAGTTACATAGAGTTACATGCTGATTTTTTTCTCAGGTTTATAATTATGTTTATTATAATAATTATATTCTCATTATTTTAAGGTTCATTGTAACTAATATTAATTGATATCAATATTAATATTTATGGTGATATTAGTGTCGATATTAAACTATTTTTTAATGATTAGAATAAGAAAAATAAGTATTAGTGTAATACTGTATACTGTGAGCTTTTCTGAGATGGTTATTGTGTGGTGAAAATTGCATAGTGTAACAAACCTAAGTGAGCCTTCAAGTTTTGTATCAGGAAATGGCAACAAGTTCAAGAAATCATTCATGTAAGTCAATATTTTTGCCAACATCCTCTTTAGTTCATAGGTTCTGTTCATTCTTTCAGCACATGCAGGACTTAATAGCCTTTGATATATTTATAATCATGGTTGTCAAGCTCACAGAGGAAGTTTATCATCATGTTGCTCTTTTTTTCTTTCTGAGCCTTTGGGACTGTAATTAAATCATCCAGCCCTCAAACCACGGAGTCTTGACTTTCTCCATATCATTGATTTAACCCAGCAGACTGCTGAACTGGAGGACCGAACATGTTAATCAAACACCCGTTGGTTATTAATCAGTTTAAGAAAAAAGAGTTTAAATCCTAAAGAAAATGTGAGAGTAAGTCTATGTTTTATGAAGACACTGGGTTTTTACTTAAAGTAGCATTCATTTTGAGTTGGACTTTCAACAGTATAATTTAAACAGAAGATGGGATTGTTTTTGTCTTTAAATTTAAAGAAAGGGTGATGTAGTATAATGGTACTATTTTATTGTAGTGCATAGTGTCGTGATCGTGTGTGTGATTAGTTCACCAGCCAGTCGGTGTAATGCTAATGTTTAGCTAAAACAGTTAGCCAACAATCTCCTTATTTTTTCACATGTCAGAAGCTTCATGAAAAGGGACAGGACAACCCATTTTAATGGACTGAAACACAGAGGTGGATGCAGTATACAGAATTCATATTTGTTCATGTCTGTCTTGTAACAATATTCACATGCCCATACGAACATTGAAACAGTTTAATTTTCAGACTAGCCAATAAGAGATACTTCCTTATGCGCTTCCAAAGTCCACAGCCAGTTAGTTAAATCAAGAGGGCTTTTTCCAAAGTTAAAGTCTGTTTAAGTATAAATATGTTTTGATAGCCAGTACACAGGACAAATGAACAGCAAGTAAGAGCTGTTTAAATATACATATATGAGCCTGAATATTGTTTTTCAACCGACCTGAAAACATTTGCATATCCTTTAACCCAGTAAAACTGACAGTCCGCCATGATTTGCTCAAAAATAAAGAATTAAAGTATATTCACTAATAATTAATAAATAAACAGATGATTTTAGCAATAGTAAAGAATGAGCAAACATATCACCTTATAACACTTACACTAATAACAGAGGCAGTCTTGCTGTGAATAATAGCTTTTGACATTTCAACTGAACGTGTTCGATTTACTTTGGGTAACTTAAAAGCTTTAAAAACACAAACAACAAATAAAACAGAAATAGGAGTTTTTGCTAATATATGAATGTATCTGATGCATTAATGCATTTAAATATGTCGCTGAAATTGAGGAGACAGAGAGACAATAGCACAGAACAAAAGAGCATTAAACAACAATACACTGATAAACCACATATAATGCTTATCATGGGGGGGACATACCTCTTGACTAAATATTACTTCATTATCTGTTAAAGTGAATACAGATGGATAATATTTATAATTCTGTCAAAAGTCAATATCTGAACGATGCTAATGATAGAGGGAAACTCCTTTAATCAGTTTTTCTGACATGACATTTTCAAGTTTTTGTAAATCCCATCAGTCAAACGTCACAAAGAGGTGGGAGAAGAAAGGGATTGAGGAGGAAACCTGAACTTCCTGAGAGGAGCAGCGTGTTGGTGATGCTTACTGCTCCATTACATATTACTGACTACTGAGGAGGAGCGCTCCTTGTAGGCTCATCCTCCATGGGCGGAGGATGTTGTACAGACACCATGAAGATCCCTGGGGATGATACCCTCGTCTTACAAATGCCTCGGACCTTCTTAGAACAGACTACTCTAAACATGAGAACATTATTGTGAAGGACATTTTATCTCCTCTTTAATGAAGAACTTAACTACATGTGGGATTTGTTGTATTATACCTCTTTAAGATTACCGGATAGAAAATCATGCTGGTCTTACAGGTGTTTTGATGTTGTGCAATTTGAACTGAAGTTGTGTATTTCATCACAGTGCATACTCGTGATCTCTTTGTTTTCCATTGTTATTTTAGAGCTTTGCAGTTTGGTGTCTTCTAGCATCAGGTAATGTAATAAATTATTGGTTCAATTATTATTATTTCATACACAATCAATGATCAGAAACAGAATGTATAACTGATCAAAGACTTCTTCTTCCTCCAGACCTTCAATTCTTTGCCACTGCATTGGAAAGTAAGCCCTCTGTTATTCTTTTTTTGTCTGAATCCATCAAGAAATGAAGCACTATTGCACATCAGAATGTCGAGCCTTATAACTTTGCTCTTCCACAGCCTGTAAGACAGCCTGGTTTGATGAGCGCAATGTTTCCAGTAACAGAGACTCAGAGCTCCTGGGTGACTTGAGAAGGAAGCACTGGACCAAGATCTGCTCCAATCCAGTGGACTTGGAGGCTCAGACGGTTTCTGGAGTTAAGTCACAGCACACCCGGAACACCTTCCACATGTAAAGTCTTCACTGTTACAGTACTGATTTCACATCAGATATTAACACTTGTATGTTCCTAATGCACAATGTGAGTTGTTGTAGTCCTAGCATCTACTCGTAGATTTTGGCTAATTTTAAAATGGTCTTCTATGTGATATTTGTATTGTGTTTTATTGTAATTTATTTTAACAGTATCTTACCGTATTGAATAAAATTATGTGATAGTAGAATAACTGGGTTTTATGGTAATTCTACAGTATTTACCAGCATGTTTCCTTATATTTACAAAGGGTAATAAAATCTGCTACTTTTGCAATTAATTAATTACATTAGCCCAAGAGTACGAACATTTATAGAGAGGTGTATTTCCACCACTTCACAGAAACAACTGTATTACGCTGATAAATTAGTTATCTGCCGCTATGGTTAAATTACGGCATTAATTAACTGTGAATTTACATGCGAAGGATGAAGATTTAGCAATTAATATAATTTGATACCTTACATGAGGAGATGTGTGGTCGAATGAATGCAAGTGGAAATATACCATAAAGGTGCTTACTCTAGAGTTGGTCGACTTGTAGAGGATCAATACACACTTCTGCACTTTTTTTTTAGTTGTTTAAACGTAAACCAAGTGTAACATTAGGATGGGATGGTTGTGTTTTGCAGTTACAGTGCATCAGAGGGCCTCGTATGCCTTAACTCGGAACAGAAAGGGAGACAGTGCTACGATTACAAGGTCATGTTCACCTGCACGGGACAGTTCTGCTCAGGTACGTGGTTAAATTGAACATGATACGACCTTAACTTAAAGGGACAGTGTGTAGGATTTGTTGGCATTTAGCGGTGTGAATACCTCCCTCTCCTAGACTGCGGTAACCTGAGCCACTGAGTGCAAAACCGTGGTAAAGATGTTTGTCTCGCTCAGACGCCATCCTAACCACAATAACACTTCTTGAGGAGCAACGGAGGTCAAACGGCTGCTGACTCTACCACAGTTTACTTTGCGGCTCACGTTACCACAGTTTCACATTTGTGTTGGAGAACTACAGTGGCCTTCAGGTTACATAAAAATGCAAAAGGCCCTCTCTAGAGCCAGTGTTTGGTTTGTCCGTTCTGGGCTACTGTAGAAACATGGTGGTGCAACACCATGTTTCACCATGCAGCGGAGCAAGAAGTGTGAAGATTACAAAGTCAGATTTACATGTCCAAACGAGTTCTGTCAAGGTACGTGTCCTCTTTTGCTTTAGTCTGAACATACGGAAGTGAAAGTCATTTGTTTTCTTATTCAATTCAATTCAATTATTATCATAACTATTTTCACAAAGACATTCACAAAGACATGCAGGTCCAATTGATTTAAAACTCTAAAGATCTCCTATGTGAATGTGAGCACCCTGTAACAGACAACCTGATCATAGTGTATCCCATGTCTTGCCCAGTGCATGCTGGGATAGACCTTTCAGTGTGTACAATGTGTTTCCTGTGTAGCAATGTTTTTCTGCATCGTCACTGTTTAAATAAATAAAAAATAACCTTCCTTATCTCCGAATTAAATATAAATTTGTGGTGAAAAAGTTTTCAATTCCAAGCTCTCTCAAAAAAAAAGCTAAAAAGAAAATTGACCATACACTTCCTTCTTTATAATATTCACAGTCCTTAACAAAACACACTCTTGTTTTCGCTGTAATCAAGTTTTAATGTCAAATTTCCACTCAGTGTCAGAGCAGTGTCGAACACAGTGGCTGAGCAGTGATGACCCGTCAGAGGAGGGTGATGTGGAGTCCATATTTCAGCTACTGAACACTTTCCCTGATCAAGTCTGTGTGAACCCAATCAGTATTGAGGCCAGGTCAACAAGTGGAATATCTGCTGAACACACTGGAGACACCTACCTCTCGTAAGCACGTTTTTAATCAATCATACAGGTTCGTGGCTTTAATTCAGTGCCTCATCGGGCTTTCATAATGAGTCTTTTATCTTGCTTGTATTTATATTCCAGCTACGATGCTACTTTTTGGATTTGCATGCATCAATGAAAAGCAGAGCGGTAAACAATGTAAGGATTATGAGGTGATGCTGACCTGTCCCTCAGATTTCTGTCAGGGTAAGTTTTCATGTTGATGTTGACTTTATCCTGTCAAGCTGTTGAGTTTTGCGAAACAAGGAAAATGTAGATTACAGCAAGGCCTTAATATACATATACAGTATATGAGCCTTATCGGTGTGTATAGTGATGAAAAAGAAATGTCACAACCTGTCAAACCAAATTAAAATCTCAGAATATGCCTCTGACTGTTCAATGTTTTTCACGGGTTGGCAGGTTGCAGGACACGCTGGTTCAACATGGACAAGCCCACACAGCGAGGGGACTATGAGGCCCTCCTCAAACTGCAGATGTTACATCTCCGTCAGGTCTGCTCCAAGCCTGTGGCCATTGAAGCCATGACAGTGTCCGGTGTCCCTGCACACAAGACCGGAGACGTCTTTCAGATGTGAGTTGTGTTGATGGATAAACAAAAACTTGCATAATAGTGATTTAGATGGTACATCTGCCAAAAGCAGTGCTGCATGGATTCTAGCCTACTGTAGAGATTAATAACACCAAACAATAGCAAGCCCAGCCCTGCTACATTGTTATGAGTTTCAGTGTTAAAGGAATAGCTTACATTTATGGGAAAAATGTAACTTGCTTGTTCACAGTCAGGTGGGAATGTTGATGCAACTCTAATGTCTGCAAGGTAAATATGAATTTAAAGTCATCAGGCATTTAGCTTAGCTTAGCTTAGCATAAAGACTGGCAGCATGGGGAACAGTCAGCCAGTATTATTTTGAGTCTCAATTTATAAGTACCTATAAGTATTTATAAGTCTCGATGCAATTTGCTGGTTTGTTTTAAAGTCTGTAATCTCTTTTATGTGAATTTCTTTATGTTTTTATATTGTTTTTCACTTTTTGCTGTTTTGTTTTTAAGCTGGTTATGTGTAATTTTTTTTATATGGTGAAACGTTTATGTGACCATCTTTTCAAGGACCCCATTTTAAAATAGATTCAAAATCCCAATGGGATTGTCCTGGTTTAAAAAAGGTTTATGCTAAAAAGCAAATAGCCAGGGGTAGTCTCTGCTGGTTGCCTGTAGCCTCAAAATAATTACAGCAAGTTGCCAAGATTAAGTCAGACACATAACCCTCTGTAAACCACACCGCATTGTTTTTTTTTGTTATTTTACTATTATTTTATTATTTGTAATAAGTGAGCTTTACAGGTGGTTGGCAGATGTTGTAACCTTAAGACAGAGCCAGTCGTTATGCTTAGATAAGCTAGCGTGCTGCTGGAGGTAGCTTTGTATTTACCGTACAGACATGGAAGTGGTATTTCACAAAATGTCGAACTATATACTCCTGGGTGATGAGTCAACTGAGATTCATGTGTAAAATTGATGGATTGCCTTTTTGAAATAGTTTTCTTACTGTTTGTTTTGCAGATATGACGCCATCTTGGCTTTGCCTGTGTGAATGCTGAGCAGCCTGGGGGAAAACACTGTCAAGACTACAAGGTCCGCCTTACATGCCCGCTGGCTTTCTGCGCAGTGTGACTTATCAGTGCAAAGCTTTTTAGGAAATGAACTGTTGGTGCATTATGTGTAATGACTGATAAGCCAATATGTTATGTCATCAACCTACATCATATTAAATATTTGTTTCTGTACATTGTGTGTACTCTTTATTTAGTAAGACAATTGAGCCTTATTCTAAATAACCTAGTGTCTCCACAAGGGTTTGAAGAAGAGAGCAAACACTCACATCCTCCTGTAGCACAGTATTCTGCTGGCACAAGAAACACAAGGATGAAGGATACATTCACTTTCTGTTGAAGGGTACACCCACTAGTCAAATACAAGCTCATTTACACAGGTGTGTCCACTCATGTAACTTTCCCTGGAAGCACTTTAATTATACAGTTCTTAGATTGACATTCAGCAACTCATCAAAGGTTAATATGTCAGTATGCAAATAAATACCCACTCACCTGATTGAGCGGTCACTCCCACTTGGTATGTTGTGCTAGAGCTGTTTAATGAGAGTCATGTCATGTCAAGTTCTCTCCAACGGACCATTCTTTTTATATTAATGGCAGCTCATGGAGCCTCTCAATGGCCCAATCGCAGTGTCCCCCCTAAAGCCTTGAACCCTGATAAATGGTTGAGTGTGAGAGACTGTAAGGGCTTGAGATGGTGTAAATATCAATGGGACAGCACTTTGCAGCAACATATCACGTTTCCATGACGAGGTCATAAAATGTTATGTACAATGGTGGGTATTTATTTTATACTTTTTACTCTCTGATTTGAAGGCTTTTCCCTCACGAGACCAGAATTAATTGTCAAAAAATCTATTTACTTGTTTTTGTCGTAACAGCTTCAATGCCAAAATGAAATGTTTGATGAATAAATCGGTGAGATATAGTCTCTGCTTGCATTCCTCTGCTTTCATGTGTTTTTATGTACCGACTTTAATCCTTAGAGGACAACACAGTCTTACGGCAATTTGTGAAATAGTCACGAAATGTAATTGTCTCGTGTTCAGGGACATGAATTGCCCGTTCTTTCCGTGGGTTAGGGTTAGGGTTAGATCCACTACCATAAATCCACTTGGGTCTCCTGGTTGACAGTCCTCTCACTCTGGTGAGATTTAGTGGCCTAAAAACAAGGGAACTTCAGCCTAAAATATGACGACCAGAAAGGTAACTCTGTATACTAATTCTCAAATATTAGCAAATTTGACTTTTAAAATACAAATCTAAATACGTATATCGTTGCTCTCTATGAATATTGTAAATCTATTTATGCTCTGCTTGTACCGATTTCTACCAATATTTACACATGCAAATTGCCCTCTGAGTACTTCCTGGAACTATCCGAAGTCTACGTGAATCACTTGAAAATCAAGCATTTTGAGCATTTTGAACTAAGAATTATGTAACTTGATGCAAAAAAGTCTAATAAGGGTCAAATCATTTTCCAAAAACATGCTCTACCAAAAAAAGCTAGTAATTAAAATAGACGGAAGTGATGCTAATGAATGATAAGATAATGAATTTACAATTTGTATGTAATAAGAAAAACCTTATGAACATTCACTGTTGTTAATATCATATATTTAATGTTATTCCATTACATATTCGATGAAGAACATACATTATTCAGTATGATTTCTCATTATTTCTAAGATGTTTTCAAAGTAGCCTACTGTAAACTTGTTAAATATGTAGAAAAATACTTCTAAATACTGGTAATACTACTAATTCCGTGGTAGCAAATTGACACACGTTGCTATAATACTAACATATTACTAATAACATGTTGTATTTTACCTTTAAGTGCCATTTCAACCCTTTAATAAAGGTCTATATAAAATAACTGAGGTCTGTTTAAAAATAAAACATTGATTGTTGTTATTTTTGCCCAAAGCAAATAAAAAATGCAAAGTTTTGTTTTTGTAATTGTTGTTTTCTTAGTTAGAACATTATCCCTCATCCTACCATCATATACAAAGACTATCTGACTGGGGTCCTTGGGGACCCCAAGAATATACTAAGAAACAACCATCATAGCAAAATGTTAACTTATTTGTTCTCAAAACACGATCAGTTATGAAAATAATGTCATCTGAAGAACAATAAAACAGATTGTTGTTATTTTTGGACAGTTACAGTCAAAGCATAAGCATTTTGTGTTTAATGAAAATACACAGAGCACATGAGGAAATCTGTGTCTTTTTTAAAAGCTCTGATTAAAACAGAAACAGAAAACAATGACATCTAGGCATTCGAACATTGATTGTCATGAAAAATAGAAATTACATAATAAAGCACCCATATAACAAAAAGTATACCTCTGGGGTCTGCTGGGTGAGGCTTGGTGAGGGTTAAAGGATTAAGCATTGAGTATTGTAACACTCTCACAAGGGGATAGTCTGTTAATAATCTATGATAGCTCAGTAGTTAATGAGGTAACTCGTATGTGAAGGTTTGCCATTCCACTTCCTGGTCACCAGAACTGGGTCAACAAAATATAGGTCAACAGTTTGACTCTCAAAGAGAAGTGGACAACTGCCAGAATTACAAGTCAAGATAACAGAAGCGTATTTGAGGCAACAACAACCTTGCTTTAGACTTGACTTGACTTGCACCAAATATATATTTCACATATGTGTGCATTGGTTTGTTTGTTCATACTTCGTCATGTGAAGCAATAAGAGCAGCAGGAAAACACATTCCACTCATTTGTGCTTACCGACCACAGCTTTGTTGGTGCAGAAGTGCAGTGTCATTTGTTAGGTATTCATTAACCTGCAAAAATGTTGTGGAAATACTAACTTCTTAAAAACATTTCAAAATGCAATATTGAGAATAGTGTAAGCTAATAACATCATGTATTTATTTATGTGGCTTTATTGTGTTATTGTACCCTATTAAATAGCCGAATAGTAATAGCAGTAGCCCACAAATTCTAGAGAAATAGAAGTTTGCTTTATTTCTTTATTGCAGCTTTTGTTTTTTTATCGCATCAAAAATGAAAGATGTATTCTAAAAATACATCTGACTGTAAAATCAGAACATTTGTGAACAGGTGTTACACCCCAACTAGGTTAAAAATGGTGTTAAGCGAACAACCAGCAGGTTTGAGGACTGCTGGGGGTGTGACACCAGCCGCTAGCTGGATTGTCATAAAAGAAACTAGCGGCAATAGGAGCGTCATTTCCGGTGGAATATTACAGCGGATTTACCCTTGGTCTTTAAAAGGACGCGCTGAATTAGAGGCTGTGAAGCTGAAAGGTAAACGGCCTATGTTGTGCACACTGTAGTCGGCGTAGGCACTCAACATACCAAAGAGAGTTAAGGGACAAAGAGATCAACCACGTGATAAAGAAAAGGAAAGACAAGCTCCCCCACGGCACGCGTGTTTAGACGTCTCCGTCATTGGATTTGTCTATATTTTGTAATCTTTGGAGGCCCTTTCAGGTAAGATGAGACCATCCGCATGTGTATGTGTTACCTGCATCTCCATTATCAATGGAGAATAGATTTTTTTTTTTAGCAAAATACAGCCTGATTTGACGAGTCGGACCGTTAGATTGTGACGCAGTTGCGAGCTATCGCCAACCTCTTCATGCTAAGCTGTTTGACTGCTCTAAATATCTTCATCATCAACCATTGTTTATTCAGGGGGAATTGACTGAGCATTAAGGTGTGTTTTTTTTTTTTTTTTTTTTTTTTTTTTTTTTTTAAATTTATACTGAAAGGCCCTGAAACCACATCTGTGCGATTTTAAACGAAAACGATTCAATCATGTCATGCGCACTGTACAACAACCATATAATCTAGCAAACGCGTGAAATGGTCGATCAGCTGTCTCATGGTGATACCTCTTTGTAATTTGGTGCGAACAAAAGAAAAAATCTCCCAGCTCAGTGAGGGTCTGAGGAGTTTCAAGGGTTAAAAAAAGGTGTGTGATGACAAATGGAGTTTCACAGTAAACGTGCGGCGAAGTCACCTGTTGCTTTAGGTCTTTTGATTGTTAGATTTTCTAGCTGGTGACGTTTTGTTTTTTTGCGCAGAGGGCCCCCCGCTGAGCGGCTGTAAACCAGCAAGTGGTTTCAGTAGCAGAATCACATATTGAGAAGCGTAAAAGAACACCCATGGGTGCATTTTCTGGCATACAGCCATTTATTTATTTGGGTTTTTGCCCTCATACTTTCAACAAATGAGAAGAACAGATAGACAAGCGAGGCAGCAGCGGTTGTCGTTGCGCACATTTTAATTTAACGCATTTAAGAATTATTCAGCCATAAAATAAGTCATGGAGTGCAAAAGAATACAGATTTACAACCGGTAACGGTATAGCTAAATCTGTATATGGATCCAAAACTGACAACCTAACATCTTTTCATGGACTTTCTATGGCATGACCTTGTTTTTATTTGTTATTTTCAGATAGTCCAAATGTATCCGTCATGCTCAATCTATGGTTGAATGTCATAATGCTAATATAAGTACCACCTTTTTTTAAATTGTTTATTTTACAGCTGTGAACCAGAGACAATCATGATCCTGCTGTCTCCCTCTTCTGGTAGGTACTTGTTTCTTAAATTTCACCTCAACAGGTGGATTATTATTTACATGTGTGCCAGATGGCAGGCCTACCTGTAGGTCTGCTTGGATCTAATTAGGCAGGAAAACAACCGCTGAGCAAGTTTTAAAGAAGCTTGAACCGAAATCAATTGAAGACAAAACCAACAACATAGAACACATATAGCATAAAGGAGACATGAGGAAGTGATATGCAATTATAATAAAGTATGTGGATGTAGACATCAACACCATCATTACAGTACAAACACATTCATGTACACTGCACAGTAGTCCACACAGCTTGAGGGTAGTTTATCGTGATGTAATGTTTTATTGTTGATATTCACTCGTTTAAGTATATACTGTGAATTCATATTACAGAATCACAAACCACACCCATTAGAATGTATAGGAATACGTGTTGAATGGTGTATAGGATTTAGAACCAATTTTATTGCCTTTTCTCCTCGACTATATGCCATAAACACAAAACACAGTTGACTCAGGGAAAATGTAAATAGTTTATATTGTTCAGTTAGCTCCTGTCAGATTATCCCTGTTCTGAATTGTTTTCCTTTGTTTTTCGTTTAGTCTTGGTAGTTGTTACCAGTTACTGTAACGTAGCAGAGCATTACATAACAAGGGCCTTCCCATCATGCTTTGCAGTCATTAGGCAGCAATCCAGAAATGGAGACCTGCTTGAAAATTACAGTGTCTCTGGCTTTATGCTTTTTTTATTTTTTTTTTTATTTGTGACCAAGACGGTGTCTTAAAGTGGGTAGTGCACAACTTGACAGTGAGATCTGCAACCTCACTGGCTTTGCACATTGGGGCTGCACGTGTGCTTCCCTAATTGTATTTACTGTGACTAAAGTTAATGAACCTGACTATTCCATTAGCAAACTGCATTAACTAATGTGTTTGTTTACCCATGAACAGTTTTCAGATAACAATCCAAATGCCAGGTTGTGAATTGTTTTAAAAATCCAAAATGAGAAGTAGAAAGCATGCTGTCAAGTAAAAGTGTAAGTTATTGTTGGCTTTTGCTGTGTCTCATACGCTGTTTTCTTTCAGATGAAGAATGTCTTGAACTCGCCTGGCTTTGGAATCACAGGAAGTTCAGGGTGAAAAACACAAGGGTTGCTACTGCAACATTTTAAAAAAATCTCAAAATTTTGCAGGTCATTTATCTGTGCACTACTTGGACAGTACTATGACTTGAGAGAAAGCGTTCAGCTCACAAGAGCGGAGGCAGACAGGAAACACTGATTTCTTTGTTGTACTTCATTAAAAAACATCACAGCTTTGTGGGGGGAGGAAGAAGTTTTTGGCTGGCAGTGTCAGCAGTCATTCCATCTTACTGACTAAGTTGCAGCGTTATTGGCTTTCGCCTTCCAAAACAACTATGTTTGTCAAGTAATTACACATTTTACTAACTGCACTTTAAACAAACTTAATTCATCTATTGAAATTGGCTTTACACCCCCATGAAGCTATAGGTATTTTGATATAGATACTGTATGTTATGTCAACAAGTAAACAAGGAGAGGTTGTAGATCTATCTTTATACCATGATCCCAATTAAAGACTTAGCTACAGTAGTATTAATAGATTTGACTAGTGAGCTATGGGAGTGCTGCTGCCATGTCCTTGTCTCAGGCCGCCATGTTTTATCAGGATAATAGATCTCACGTCTGGTATGTGTCTATGGAGTAGGTCAATCTCACTTTAGCCAATGTGGTAGTCCCCTAACTGTTTATAACTTGTTTACCACACCAGTATTCGTGTGTATTTGACCCCTGATATGATTACAGTTGAGCACTAACACTCCACATGCATCCTGTTCAGACATGTATCCTTTTGATGTTTATCCTTTGCAAAATATGATCATATCCATTGATATTGAAGTTTACTGCATGCTGCTTTTTAAAAATGTTATAATAATGTTTATTGCATAGATATAACTGATCATGTAATACGTAGATGATGAGACACTGTAATGTTGCATGCTATAGGCTGCGAATGAACGAATGTACAGTAACAAATGCATTTTAGTAATCTGAAAGTGGATGAATGTATCGTATGGTCGGTCTTCGTCCAATAAACATACGTCTTGGTAAGTGATGCTTTTTTTACATCAGACAGGGGAATCGCTTTTAAAGCAATATTTTGTTTTAAAAACAGTTAAAGAAACACGCACACATTTTATAATATCTTGCCATATGTATTCATAGTGTACAAAATATTGTTTAAATTATAATCAATATAAATTAATTATTCATCTATGACTGGTAAAGCATTAAGAATACTTTCAGAATTTTTACACATTTTTCCTTTCACTTGAACTGAAGTTTGACTCCAACTGGGATATAATTATTAAACTATCCCCCATGTTAGACACCTTCATCAAAAGGCCAGCTGGTATGCTCCCCCAATGATAGTAGGGATTTAGCTTGTAGCTTTAGCAGGGCAGGGGTTATTGACATTACACAGACAACTACTAACTGCTGCTGTTGTGTGGTCTAAGGTCTCTTCCAGTGTACCAACAAGCTCTTTCTGAGTGATGAAGCCACGGGACTCCAGATCAAGGAGTTTGCACGTAAAAATGCAGCTAATGCTCTGTCAGTTGCTAACATGGTCATGGGCATTACCTCCATTCTCAGCAGTCTAAACGGGTGAGTTTACATTGTTAGATTTTATTATCTGAAGCATTAAGTCAGGGGTGAACCAAACGCTATAGCTTGGTCGGACTCATTGTAACCAAAAAAAGACAAAACATAAATGTTAATACAAATTGAGGATTTGGCCAGGGGGTTTTTAAAACCACATTTGAGTTATTACGGTGGCAAAAAATAGAACGGCATTTCACAAAACAGAAAACAAAGCAATGTGTCACAAAACTACCACAATTTAAAAAAAATAAATAAATAAATAAAAAAAAAAATACATTTCTCAAACAGATCAGAGTATAAAATAACTTTGCCAACAGAAAAAAAAAAAAAAAATAATAAGATGTGTTTTATGAAGTATTGTGTTTTCTGTTTTGTTTATATTGTAGCCCCTCAGGGCCACAGTAATTACTAAAAGTTGACTTTGAACCCCCTTGGAAAATCCTTCTATTTTCATTAAAAGCGTGGTTTTGTTTTTGTTCAGGCACCATCATGCTGCATGCTGGCTGGTTCTGATTGGCTACCTTCTGGATTTGGCAGATGGAGCGGTTGCCAGGCGACTCGGTGCCTGCTCTGCGCTGGGTAAGTGGAGTGTTGTCGTCGGGAGCTGTTACCAAAGATAAACCTTGACTCAGGTGTTGGCAGGGCTCGCTGCTCAGTCCTTTGTCTGGACTTTATAATCAGGCCGCTCAAAGTCATAAACGACAGGGACCAGCTGAAGGAAACACCGCCATTGAATACTCTGGATAGTCTTACAAAGTAGCCAATAGAAGAATCGTACATATTTAATGGGATGTAACTTGAGCTTTATCAAATGGCGTGCTTTTTAGCTTTTCCTATATTTCTAAGGACTCCACAAATTATACAATTTCAGTTTTTTTTTTTTTTTTTATTGAGTGTCAATGGCACCCAATGAAAATACACAGAACATAAGATGTGGCTTGTTTTCAAAAGATCACACCGCTATAGTAAACAAAGAGGCACAAATCGATATTTTAAAAGCTTCTAGTGTGAAAGTTCACATTTTCTCCGAACCCCAAAATAGCTCCCACGTGCATCACATCGTTGGCTGCACATTTCAGGGGGCTTTGTGTCCCGACGGGGTTTTTCTGCATGACTTTGCAGGTGGATGTTGTTGTGTCTCCCCCCCCCCATGTATTTTGTCAAATGAACAATCACTTTCTGATTAAGCAGCCTAATTCCACAGGATCACGCTCCGATTGTCTTTTTTAATCCCGCTGCTTTGGCTCCTCTGCATATCTGAAATTGCTAAAATTGTTGACCCTGGACTGTGGAATTCCACCTCTGTCATTGAGCCGGGGCCTGAATCACCTCATCTGCTGAAAACATGCACTGTGCTCCTGGGGGGATAAAGAGACGAGGCAGTGGAGAATGTTGTTTACTGAATGGTTGCCCGTTGGGCGGACTCTGAAATTTCCACTTGGAGATTTTCTCACATACACAGCCCACTGTCGGTAACATTATCAGTGACCATACCGGGAGAGATGATAACATATCTAAACTTTGATAGGATGTAAACTCATGACTAAATTACTGTCTGATTTAAAGAAGTGTAATAATACAACAGTTGGCGCTCACTAGTAGCTCTTCTAATGTCAGTTATTCGAATTACATTTCAGTCCAATACAATTATTGTCTCCTTGTGAACTTCCCAGAGCCATGTTTGTTATTCGCTTTTTTCTTTTTTCATGTTCAGGTGCAAAGCTTGATGATTATGCTGACTTCACGACCTTTGGGATCGCCACTTCATTGCTCCTAAGGACATCTGACCTGCTGGACAACATCCTATGCGTGTGTTACGTCTTGTCAGTGTTCACCCGCCTGTGTTTCTTTACAAGCGGTAAGTTCCAAAATGTAGAGTTACTGTACTCTATGCTGTTTTTATTATTCAAAGGACCTACTGGAAATGTGTTCTTTGTTTGGCCCCTATAGGGATCCCGTTCATGTATCGCGGCCTGCCCTGCATCTACTCCTCGGCCATCCTGGCCAGTGCCTCTCTGCTGTCTGGGGGAAACCTGGCCCTGCTGCGGGTCATTGCGGTGGCCATGATCCTCTTCATGATCAGCCAGAACTTCTACCCCCATGACAGAGTGCTAGAGTCCCAGGCCTGGAAGAAAGCAGTCTACGCTGGAGGTAAAGCCATTAAATAAAAAAACAAATCCAGTATGATTCACATTTCTCTTGGACAAGAGCTAAGAGTAATGACTGCGTAGGATTCATATTAGAAATGCTTCATCAAATTAGAGATCAGGTACAACATTTAGCATCTGCATGTAGTAGCGACATCTAGCCATGGAGATAGTTTCGGTAATCAAGGCTTTTTTTCCTGCTAATACATGCTGCTTTGTCAATTTGTCAGTGTTTTTACTCTTATCTCACTACACTTCTATTTTTTTTTTTTTTTTTAATTTAATTTTTTTTTTTTTTTTTTTGTTATTTCCAGGAGTTGTCATGCTGTTCTGCTCATCATTCCCCCCTGCATGTGTGTACTATCTGCTCTGGTCAGTCTCCTACATTTTGTTCCCAACATCCCTTTGGAGCAGTAAAGTGTAAAATGGGTGCTGGCTTTGTCCAAAACTCCCATGTAGGTTTGCTTCTATGACCCATCTGGGTGAACTGAGGCTTCCAGACTGCTGCTGCTCCCTACTGCCATGGAGGATCCAAGCTGAAACATGCTCATGTTCCACAGGCGAACACTCGCTCTATTTGACCTTTTTTTATTTTGATGCGACACCTCTAAAACAGAGCCCAGATTCAAGAGAGTTAGAGTGAGGGATGAGAAGTGCATTTTAATGTTCCTAAAGTAAGGATAAGCCTTCATGCTGTCTTATGTTTGTGCTGCATTTTCACTGAATCCAGGGGTCAGATGGCTTGTTCCACAAATTTTCATCAGGTTCATCTCCCGTGTAATCTCCCTAAATCAATATTAATCCAATCTTTCATCAATGTTGTGAACACGCAGTAGCAGCGCACATCATTTTCTCACAGGATGAGATAAAAAGAAAACAAAAATAATTTCACATTTTTAATAGATTTCTGCTTCTAATTTGGTTTTTAAAATGTTTAATTGTGTAATCACACAGGATCATAACTCTTATTATGATGTGTGTTGAGCATAGCTTAATGAGTAACTGCTCGAGTGCTACAGTATGTAGGTAAAGCCTAATCAATCGTATACAAGATTTCTCAGCAACATTTTTACCAGATTCAAATTCCATGTCCTTTCTGCTTTATAACACGGTAATAAAGCACTGTCACTAATTTTGTGTTAACTGTTGATGTTTTTATCAGGATTGAGGTCACTTCACTTTCACAGCATTCAGGCCATGATGTGGGTTTCCTCGTAATCAACTTTTCCATTTTGTAGGGGTCTAAAATCCAGTGACTTACAGTGAGGAAATTTCTAACGTAATGGTGCAGTCATTCCTAATAATAGATTTGCTGTTTGTTTTCAAAATGCTTCCATATTGCTTTTATGTGTCGTTTTATCTGGTCATTGTATGTGTTTGCCTCCGTTTTAGGAGGCATTGAGGTTTAAATAATAAATCCACAATGGATCACGCCCTATGGTAGTCGTTGAGTGGAGGTGGAGTCAGGAATACAACGTGTGTGTGTGTGTGGATGCATACATAGCACCGCAGCAGCAGTTTTCTGCCTTGTGATTCAATGTGAATTTTCCCTTAAAGAGCAACAACACACAGGCTGCCCTCGCTGCAAGTTCTGCCTCCACCTTTAAATGTGTCGTAACATTGTACTACATGACCACTTCTAGTAGTGGAGCAGCATTGATGAGTAAAATCCACAAGGAAGGAGAGTTGGAGTGTGTTGTTAATCTTTAACTTAGCCAGTATTCTGTCTGAGGGACATCACTTTTTTCGTAGAGCCTGTTTCACAATGTGTAATTGTGCCTCCTTCCATTGCGTGTGTGACAAATGCTGAAATTATACAGTATACCCATATTTAATTTTGGACTCCACACCTTCTGAAAAACGGTCATCTTTGAGCAAGTAATCTGAGATTTCAAAATAAAAGGTATGACATCACCCACAGTTTAAGTTCAGTGGATTTAATGATAGCTTTAATGATTTTAATCCTCTTATAAACAATATCAGAACCCGGAAGACATGAACTTTTGCATTAATTTTGTTTTAAAACTATTAGGGAGATTTATTTAGATAACTCATAAAATGCTAAAGCTGTGAGCTATCTAGCTTTTAAACTTAACGTTTTCTGAGGGAAATCTAAAACGGACTTTCCTAAATCAAGAAAATTAAACACAAACGGCCATGTGTTCTGGTTCTGGTATTGATCTGAACCCACTGGTGGTTCTTGACCTGGTTACAATAACCAATGTTGTGAAAATAATCTAAAGTGCATAATATGTCTGGGGCTATGGCTGTTTTCTATCCCAATAAAGGTAATTTAATATCCTCCATAACAATACAGTATATCGCGATAAAGTGTGTTTTCTGGTAATTCAAAAAAATAGTCTGCATGAAATATCCACATGGTAATGCCTATTTTTGTCTACTTCTGTGTCAATTAAATACTTGACAAATGAAGAATACTCAGTATTTTCCAATTGAATTAAGAACTTTAGTGCAAAATCTTCTGAGAAATTTTAGTTACTATGTGCTTGTTATCAATTTAGACAATATAGTCGTGTATCATGATATCTCGATAAATGTGTTAATGATGATTTGATTGCATTGAAAGACAATAAATTATATTGAATAATTGCCCAGCCCTATACTCTGAACGGAACACAAATCTACTCTGGTACATTCTGCTTTCCTGTGTGAGTGTTTTGGTTTTGAAACTGTGAAGCCACAGTAATGTACGCATGCCAAGAGCATTACAAATACAACAATTGTACTTTGCCCAATGAATAAAGAAAAGATCTTAACGTGTGTTTTTTTTGTCTCTACATTTTGACAATAAGGAGTTCATAATGAAATGACTTGCTTTCAATGTCATGAGTTCATCAAATCATTAATGTTTGACGAGAACTGTATATAAAACATATATAATGCCTAAGGTGGACATTCAACACATGGATGTTACATTGGAGTCCTACAGATCGTCACAGTTGATATGTTGCTTCCTAGGTGTTGCTGCATTTGGTAGCACATGAGCCTACGAGAGCAGTCCTGCCTTTCTGCTGTACTCAAAAATGTCTTCAGCAGCCGCCATACAGTATGCTGTGAGCACTCCCAACAGCTTTACGACGGCCGACAATGCAGGTCGGTCCGTGAAACTCCACATCCAACAGTACTTCATAAGATCATAAAAGCATAGAAAATGAATTTAAGACAGCTCTGTGTTAAAGGAATAGTTTGACATTTTTTGGAAATGCCCTTAAGTCGCTTGCTTGCTGAAAGTCATGACAATATACCATTCTCATGTCTGTCTGTAATAGGGCCAGTGTGTAGGATTTAGGCTGATTTATTAGCAGAAATGTAATATAATATTCATAACTAAGTTTTCATTAGTGTTTAATCACCTAAAAAAGCTAATATTTGTTGTGTTTTCTCAGCTTAGATTGACCAACATAAGGAGAGGGGGTCCTCTACACATGTTTCTACAGTAGCCCAGAAAGGACAAGCAAAACCCTGGCTGTAGCTGGCTTGGACAGGGAGGGACGAGCAGATTGGTATTAAATGGGTTGCAATCTGCAACCTCTAGAGATGATGCCAATAAATCCAACACACTGGACCTTTAAGTTTGACTTAACACAAAGATTGACAGCCTGGTTTTCTGCTCGAGGATAACAAAATACGCCCAACTGCACCTTGCAAGTTTTTACACTTTGGTTTTAAATGGAAACCAACAGCAGAGGAGTCTCTGTCTCTCTTCTTCAGCAGAGCTTTACAAATGGGGCCATGACGACCCGTCTGCCAAAACTCTAGTCCCTTAAAGAACAGACTCTTTGGGAATTTCCCAGGGATACAAATCTGCCTGGACCTTTGGAGTGCTTACACATACTGCAGTCAGAGATACACTCTGCTGGCCTGTTGAAAAACACAACAGTAACTGCAGGTTTATTGTGAACCAATGATATAGTAGCACCTGGTGTTGTTCTCAGGCACTTGTGAAAAATAACTTTTATACAGAGGATATACAGTTATTGCAACTTATACCATTTGTAAAATGTGCTGAGGAGCTAGGTCTTCTTTGTTTGTTCTTGTGGAATTAAAAAAAAATCAAGCAAGGGATGAAGTATAATAGCTACAGTTTTCCTACCTGACACCTGATGCTACAACGATCGAGCAAATACACATTCCCAGCCTTATAGTATAAAATCTAACCGCAGCAGCAAGTTTACAAATCCCAATAACAAGGTTGTTTATCAGCTGCTTTTAGAAAACGGGCTCAGCTTTGTCTGTGAGGGCGCTGACCGAAGGGGCGAGTCTGAAAGTTGACTAAATGCAAATCATTGACAAATGCCCAGAAGTGACAACATTAACAGGTGTTGTGGTAACACCTACGCCTGCCTCAACAGTTGACTGATTAAACTGTAATGTGCACACAAAAGGGATGTATTCAGTTTGTTTTTTAGGCCCCATGTGGAAAATGATGCTCTATCTCTGAAACAGAATAGCATACAATCTATGAGAGGTACAAATACCACTAAATAAAAACAGATAATAGCAATAAAAACAAGGAAACAAAGTGTGTGTGTAAAAGTGCATATGCTGGTTATAAGTGTCCTGGTATTTAATTAATACAAAAGAACACAATAAGTTTGTATATTTTATTATAGTAGTACAGTGTTGCTATTGGTGCTTGGGAAAGGATACAACCACAAGAGGGCAGACTTGCGCAAGAAATTGCCTCCAACCAGCAGCCGAGTCCTCAGTTCTGAGAGCAGGAAATATTTATAAGTTTCAACAATAATAAAGCCAAATAATCACACACTGTAGTCCACAGAATAAAGAACACGTTGGACAAATTGCATATAAACTGTATGTCGACAATCACGAATTTGCAAAACAGCATTTCCCACGTGAAGAGATGTGTCCCAGGACTGGAGCTCCGCCTTGCTTTGGACACACCATGGAAACAGAATCCAGCGCGTCTCAATCACAGAAGCCCCGCCTCTTGCCATTCATTATTGGTTCAACGGAGATCCCCCCCCCCCAATCTCTGATTGGACAGAAGCTCCTGCATTTAGGAAAAGCAACACGGAAAAAGATCAAAAAAAAGTTATCTAGTGAAGCCTAATCGGATCACGTCCGTTGCATGGCTGCGTAGTTTTTTATTTTTTTTAGTAGAAAAGCGCGGAAGTGCACCGAGCGCGTAACGGAGAACGAGAAGCAAGGCTTCAGTTTGGTAAGGATCCGATTACTGATCCGACCGAGTGCCAGGTATGTTTTCCCGTTTCCAAGGACTGCCTTTGCTGATGTCACCGCGGGGGGGGACGGCAGAGAGGAGGACAGGTGCGCAGAGTAAAGTTGACTCCGGTATGTTCGGATTGAAGAGCTGTCACTGGACCGAGGGAGCAGTATTTTTGTAAAGTATTTTCTCCTTAAAGTAGTTTTTTGGGCACTCAGATTGTCTGGTATTTGCTGAAGTCTTAACGTGGAATATATACTCCACGCTTTTGGAACTCACGGGCACTCCGGTGCGCACGAACGACGCGGGGCTCACCGTGTCGGTGCTGCTCCGTGATGTCGGGGTTGTAACGGGGGTGGAGGAGGTTGCTATTGTTTTTGTTTTTTTTTAAGTTCATATTGCTGTGAACCGGGCTGTGGGATCGAGACGCTCCAAGAACCAGAAGCAACACTTTCCGCTTCAATGCGACACTGACGCAGCTGATCTCGCATCCCAGTCGCAGACAGGTGATGCTCGATGGAAGGATCGATCATCAACAGAGCGAGTTCGATCTGAGAAAAAGAAGAGAGAGAGATTTGATTACCCTGGAATGGAATACAACACAAGAAATCGGCCTCAACTTCTCTGATCTGCGATGATTTTCCCATGCGTCATTGCGTCTTAGGCTCAGAAGCGGGTCTTGAGTTGAGGGACGATCGTTCTTGGACTTCCTCCCAGGTTTACAGGAGCTACCGACAATGTCCAAGACACTGAAGAAGAAGAAGCACTGGTCCGCCAAAGTGCAGGAGTGCACCCTGTCGTGGGGGGGTTCCGGAGAGTTGGTCGCGGTGGTTGAGGTGCGCGGAGGCGCTGAGCTGGGAGAGTTCCCCCATCTCGGAGACGTAGTTTCGGACGCGATGGTTTGTCACGCCGGGAGGCTTCCCTGCAGCGGGGACGTGCTGCTGGAGGTGAACGGCACTCCGGTGAGCGGACTCACCAACCGAGACACGCTGGCTGTCATCCGCCACTTTCGGGAGCCCATCCGCCTGAAGACTGTGAAACCAGGTGTGTATTTGAATCGCAATGACCCCCCCCCCCCCGTACACATACACACACACACACACAACCAAACCTGCCATGCTGTGTAACGTGCTCTACAATGGTTACATCACTGTAACTTGAAGATTGAGAAGCTTGTGGTAGGTGAGATTGTTGATGGGTGTGTGTGTGTGTGCAGTCTTATGTAGAGGTGGAAGCCAGTTTTCAGGTTAGGTGTGTTTTTCAGCTGGCTTTAGCATATTTAAATTGTCTATCTGCATGGCTCCTATTCATTCATTGTATGTGCATGTTATTAGCCGACTTACTATAGCAATCAGTTTGCACTTCTTCATGGCTCACAGACATGACTTCTGAGTGTGTGAAATGTGCCAAGCATACTGACAGTGTGTGTGTGTGTGTGTGTGTGTGTGTGTGTGTGTTTATGGATGGATGGATGGATGGATTTGATAGAGGCCCTGCTGAGTGCGGTGCTTTGCAAACACTTAGCTCAGATTTTATTAATGGCTGCCTTGACCAGCTTAGACAGTGTCGGCCTGCTGGCGTTAAGGCGAGTCCAAGTCTAATTGAATCAATTGGGCCCTTATCCTTAAATCCTCTAAGATGCTGCCTCAGCATGGCGACTCAGTTTGGCACCATGACTGTCGGGCAGTTACGGTGGTTTTATGTGACACAGATTGGTCCTTCTGCTGCACATACGGTTGCCTTGTTGATTAGGGTCAGTGGATGTGGTTGTAATCAATATCACAGGATTATCATGATCACTTTTCTGCATCACAGAAGACCAAACTTGTCACTACTTGTAGCGCTTCAAACACCCATTGGACAATAGAATCAAGTTTGGCAAAAGTGCATTTTCTCAGTTCCACAAAGTGTACTCGGGTACAAGTGTTTTAACATTTTCTCTGTGTTATGTAATAGCTGTATTCTGATGCTCAAGCCACACGTTGACATGCGCAGGCTGCTTACCATAGGCTCCTCTGTTCCCCTTGGGGCCCTCGCTGTGTGTTTTATATCTCTGTCCTCTTCCTCATGATTCATTCAAGCATCATCCATCATTAATGGCTCGCTCCGTGCCAAGATGAGGTGGCGGATCACATGTTAGACCGACTGGTGTGGTGTGCATATAAACTTGTATACTCGTGAGATTGGAAAGTTGGGAGTGAGGATAAACGGCAAAGTTCCAGTTTTGACTTCATGTCTATTACCAAAGAAACGACACAGTGTTGCATGTGAGCCAAAACCAAGTTGCATCAGCCTGAAAATGGAGAATTTTCTTTATTTCAGTGTGCCCCCCCCCCCTGTAGGATTTTGTTCCCCTCTCCCTCCTTGCTGCCCAGTTTGACTTTACTTTATCTTTCCCCCTCAGCCGATTATACCTTATCATCACAGTTTGCCATTCCCCGCTCTCCTCTGGTATTTTCTTTCCTTTGCTATATTATCATATATTGCACTCTGATTCTCACTTTTGCCTTTGTACCCTTCCTTTCCATCCTTTTCCATCACCAGTATGCTGTTCTTTTTTTGTTTTTTCACACCGGCCATGACGATTAAATCAAACATATTTGACTGCTCGACACTTCCCCGGCACTGTCAGGACAGAAAACAGAAGTTTTGCCTGGAGTGGTCCTCTGGCTCCAGACCAGCCGGTGGACTCAGTATGCAGCTCCCATCCAGAGAGAGGAGCGAGGCAGTAGGCAGTAACCTTGAGGGGGCAATTGAGAGTAGAGGCGTAGTGATACAGATACCTATTGCGGCTTAGAGACTTGTGAGTGGGCAGCTCATTGATTAATGCTGTAAACAGACTTAGATCTACTTGTTTTTTGCCTCATGGAGCTTAATGGATGGACCGTTTAGCTCTCAGTTCCCGGAGCAACCTTGATTCACAAATCGGGTCTAAATTGGAAACTAGGAAACGGGTTTTTGAAAAAGCCTGAAATATAGCTACCGAGAAGACAATGGTTCACATTTTACAGTGCTACTCCAGAGATTATATCTGCACACGGTATGTGAATACATTTCTGAAGGCAAGGTACAGATGGAAAAACACTCTCATAGGTCAGTTTTTTTTTTTTTTTTTTTTTTTTTTTTTTAGCTCAGCAAAGCAAAAGCACCGCGCAAAACACTTCACACCCATTGAGAACTACAGCAAAGCCGCCCCAGGCTGCTAAAACGCACTCTGTCTGAGCAGGGCCGTAGATTGCAAAGAGTCTTTGCGGAA